ATTTCTTCGGAGCCGCCTGGGTCACTGACTGAAAAATCACTTTTCTTAGGCGATTGCGGAGCTACGCTTTTATGAAGTTACCTCACATTTTGAATAAAATGACTCCAGCAGTATTTGTGCTATGGAGCGAACTGACTATTAATGGTAAGAGAAGTTTGTAAACCCTTAGGTTATGCCCCAACCTGTGTCACAAAGTCTACTCCACCGGTTTACCGTAAACTGCCGGTAGTAAGCCCCTCCACTTATAACCCCCCCAGATATAAACACCCACCCCCGGAATAAAGGCCCCTCTCTAGCAGCCTCCTCTTCAGGCATTTCGTTTCTCGCATGGTCGAGGTCAGTGCGAAACGCGAGTGACTGGTGATGAACCGCAAGGGACCATGGGAAGGGTACAGTTATCTCCTTCCCGCCTTCCTTATCGCGCACATTTTCATCTGGAGAGAGACGTCTAAGTACGAGGCAGCCTCTCTAGGTAGTATCGAAATAAATTTAATTTATTTTGACGCAGTAAAGCTTATTTTAATACCAGTAAATGCATAACGTATATTGATCAGCACCGCTGTAGCTTGCTTCGAACCCCCTCCTTGCTCCCTCTGACATAACCCCCTCCGTTTGTAAGCCATCCTGAAGCCCCTCACAAAGATAGGTAAGCCTGTGGCTTACGGTAAACTGGACATTATCTAGGTTTCGACTGACACGTCTAGCTGTGCCACAGGATTTTCCTAACCAAATTCAATACGTAATCAAGAGAAAAGATTTTGAGATTAAATGTGTTAATGATCACCTAAAGTTAAATTCTTTGATCAAACAAATTCTCTCAACTTATCACTTAGGGCAATGTATGAACATCAGTCTTGAGAATTTAGACGTGGATATTTCTAGGGTTAACATAAAAAAATAACGGATCATTATACATTTCTGGAAAACTGCATACCTACCCCTCCCCTAAGTCACTTAGGGCAAAATTTTGGCTTCAGGGAGGGGTAGGTGGGCAGTTTCCCAGAAAATGATCAATGATCCAAAATAACAACAACTGTAAGACAGCTTCCAAAGATTTAATTTTCCTCTGCTTCACAAAAAACAACTTTCATATATAAAGCTTCTTATGATTCCCAAAACATGTTGTGCTTTGAAAGATTGTAAAAAGGTCTCTTCTCCGAGGCACGCTGCATTCCTCTGCCCACACAGAGAGAGAATTTTTACAGAGAATTGGCTTCTGGGTATTTCTGTATTTCAACAATTTAATTCTAAAGAAAAATAACAACTGCTAAGAAAAGAATTATTTATCATATCTAGCATGTAATAAAGTTCAATTTAAGAAAAACACCCACAAGAACCCGTCAGGAAGATATTTAGCTCAAAGGCAAGAGACAGTGGTTATGTTTAATGCCATTTCAGCACAGCTAAGTTTATTGTCCATTGGTGAGTTTGTAAAGTGATGGTCATCTATTTGGATTGTTGTGCCTTTGTTGCTATAACTGCTTCCTCGTCCATGGCTTTCAGCACAGTCACCAAAAATGCCTCATCATTGTCAAATTTAGTTTGGATTTCTTTACCCAGATCCCCCTCGGGCAGTTTCAAGTCCTCGCGAGTATCACCATTGTCATCCATGAGGGCTAGATAGCCATCATCAATGTTAGTCATCTACATAAAAGAGGAAAAAAAAGACAAGAGCAAANAAATTTAGTTTGGATTTCTTTACCCAGATCCCCCTCGGGCAGTTTCAAGTCCTCGCGAGTATCACCATTGTCATCCATGAGGGCTAGATAGCCATCATCAATGTTAGTCATCTACATAAAAGAGGAAAAAAGAGACAAGAGCAAAAGCGAATATGAAACAAAGGCGCCAAGAAAATCAGTTTTACAGCTTACCCATGAAAGCAAGTCATTTTGCCTAGCTCTAACAATGCTTTGACAAGCAGGATAATTAATTAATTAGTATTGATTACTATATGTATTTATTTAAAACGTAATCATTGGATAATGCAATTCTAGAGCTCTGATTGGCTTAGCCATCATGGTATGACCCATTATACGACCGACAGTCTCCAAATATTATGGTAACTGTACACATCTGCTCAAAATTAAAAACAAGCTGAGAATCGGTTGTTTTAACAAATAAAGTCTGGAAGAATTCTCGATATTTTGTGGGCGTTTTTAATAGAACAATTATTCCACTTGCGCTTGTTGGATATGAGATGATTATAGCCAAGTCATATCCAGTGCACACTCGTGGGATAATTATTAAATGTGACAGGACTACATGCTGTACAATTTGGAAATAATTGGATGATAAAAATTCGGAGGATAGCACTATAGGTTAGCTCAAAAGCGAAGCTCCTCAGACCACCATACACTTCTATCAAAGCCATTAATTTCATTCTTTTCTTTTTTCTCTTTTTTGTTATTTAATTCCTACGTTACTATATACAGTGTTAATATTATATACAAGTGTGAATAAACTGAACTAAACTGAACCAAGTCCAATTTGGCTGTCAAAGGAATTTTATGAATTCAATTATTTCCAAATTGGACAAGCACAATTTTTCAAGTACACATACTTGTGTAATGTGAATTCCCCCTAAGACTTCCCTTGTCCATTAGGCAAGCCAAGAACAAAATTCACTTTGCTTGATGGAAAAATCCACTAGCCCCAGGCTATCGGATATGACAATCTTTGCATGGTGAAAAGTTATTAGAGTCAAACAATCTTGGGCCCATAAAAACTAATCATGCCAACACACTAAATGGCATCTTGGATATTACATAAATGCATTGTACAGCATCTCACTTAGCAGAATGAGCTGAAAATAATTTTCCTTACTCAAGGTTATTCCCGGGGGTTTCAATAATAACTGAAGTAGCCAGCAGGCATAAACATCAAGGCTGCTGCCTAACAGATGCTCAGTCACCAGAGGCTCCAACTGTTTGCTTGCAGGCGACTAAAATTTCAAACAAGGATCCCACATGGACGCCTTCACTTTCAGTGCGCTTTTGAAATGAAAATGTAAATAAGTGTTCATTGACTGTCGGCAAAATATCTCTGCTGATAACAGTAAACAAACAAGCACTTTTCTGGAAATTCAAAACTCAAATGAATCAAGTTTCGAGATGCGGGAATCAAGTTTCGAGAATCTGCTTACCTATATTTAAGTTTATTGAACAATGGGCTCCTAGAAAGGTGGCACGGGCTGCCAAGTTTCTATCTTAGGAGCCTGAATCCCAAAAACTTTTCTTAGGCAGCAGCCTTGAAAATATAAACAAACTCATAATAAGGCAGCAAAGTCTGTAAGCGATACATTACTGGTCCGCGGTCAGTCAACACCTTATACTGTCTCTGACTGTATTTTCCTTCAGCAAATCATTTTCAAAACAAAACCAAACTAAGTGTATCAAGCACTTAAACTAGAGGTGAAACATAACAGGATAACTCTCGCCAGGATGGCCAAAAGGTGACTGTGTCCGCGGTTTAATTTACAATTATTTTTCAGGGTTGTCATTAAGAGCCGGGGCCCGGGGATTTTCCCCGGCTACTAAGAGAGTGGCCCCCGGCTACTTTTATTGGAAAATTGAAGAAAAATAGAACCAAAAGAAGTCCTTAGCCATTTGATTCCCCGTCTACTTGTTGTATTTACCCGGCAACTTGAAATCTTAGTGACAACCCTGATTTTTCTACTATTGTTTCGGGACTTTGTTTACTGGCCAATTATTTAAGGGTGGCCGCTTGATGCAGGTTGAACTGTAAATTTTTCTGCTGGCGTGAGCAAGTTGGTATCATGTTACAAGCAATAAATGGGAGGTTGTATGAGAAATGGAATACTGAGCACTGTGAACAATTTATAAATATTGTTATATTTTACCTTTTGATCAATGAATTAAGTAAAGAAGATTTTTCTTTGTTGTATTTCTGTGTGTTTGGGTGTGAATTCATCAATTTAGTCCACTTTTTGGCTTTATTGCTTGGGTTTGAGGTAAAATTTCTCTTGTCTGAGGGTGGGCTCGTCAACTTAACAGAAATTTTAACTTACTGAAAGTTAAAACTGTCAGAAACTCATTGTTTAGAAAATACAGAAGCGATGCAATATGAAATACTTGAAATGATATACCCAATTCCCGCTGCCGTGCACTATGAAGTTCATTTTCTAAAAATTAGCAACTCCAGGGTTCAACATCTGTAATCAGTAGCTACAGAATTTTTGTTACTCCTTTTTATCAACTGATGGAAGATAAAGCAGTGATAAAAGTTGTGTTAATTTCCAAGATTAAAGGCTATAATGACAACAGCGATTCGTTTTAAGCAAAATACTTGGATACACGCTACATTTGAGATGCTTGTTTGAGTAAGCAAGTGCTAGAAGGTAAGGATCACCTATTCAAAATTAAAGGTTATGATCGAATACGAGCTTATGAATTCTTAATTTAAAATAAGTATCAGCCCTTTAAGCTTCAAGACCCACATACCAATAATTATTATTCTCCACACTGATCTCCATACATTTCTTAAAAATTCAAGCATATGCCATCACAAAATCAGAGAACCGTTTTGAAGTGAAAAATTGTAAATTTTTAACCCACACTAAAACTTCACGACAGTAAAAACTCAGAAGGATCAATAATTCTTTAGTTTGAATTTTGATGACGTCATGTGAAAACCAGCAATTACGGTTACAGTATATATATAAAAAAGGATTAACGTCCAGAATAAGTTTGTTGTGTGTAATTCTTGGTGTAAACACACACATACCTGGTAGTCCTTGCGCGACACATGTGGCACATCCATATTGTGAGTCGATGGACAGATATCCTCGTACTTCTTATTAGTAAAAATGTCTATCCCTACCAGATGAACCTTTAAATGAAATGAATATATGTGAGCACAACAGAACCTGCATTGAGCAGTCACCGTCTCATAAGGTAGGAACTCACTAGGCAACAAGTGTCAAAAACACATAAAGGCGACAGATCATCCCTTGTGTACAGGTTGGGCGAGTAGTTGTAGCAACATATCGCAGTGACAAATCGCTTCATATGAGCTGGAGAATTTTTGTGAAAACCTTTGTCTCTTTGTTGCTACACAAGTTGCAAAAAATCAACTCAGACTGAATTTGAGTGACCTGTTACAGTGACAAAATTCTGTTGCAGTGACAAAGAGTTTCACAAAAATACACCAGTATACACAAAGTGATTTGTTGCTGTGATGTGTCGCTGTGACATGTGGCTACAACTTGTCGCCTTGTGTGTACTGTCCTTTAAAGTGACGATGTCACAAGGATATTGCTGTTTCAGGCCAATTCTGTGCTGAACTCACTTCTTAGAGCCTTTGAATACACAGAATACTAGATAACTTCTGGACAATCTAGAGAACTGTTTTTATTGCAACTTCTTTTAGAAGCACTTAACATAATTTGTGACCCTATTTGGGAAAACCAGGCTTAATGGAAATAGCGCTGAGCCAGTTTTCATTCACAACACATTTCAATGCATTCCCAAAGCATTTTAAACCGTTGGCAATGTTATCCCATGTTTGAAAATCATTCAGAAGCATTCAGGAAACGTGTCAAATGTTTGCGAAATGTTTCAGTTTAAAATCATTTCTTTGCACTGTCTGTCAAGTTTTTGCGTGTGAGGTCACATTTTGAAATATAAAACTTAAAGCAAGGTTTGCTTCTTCTTAATCCTGGAATGGTAGTAAACTTAATTTGCTGTGTGCATTGACCATCTACACACTTCTTTAATGCTTCTCTTGAATGCTGAAATTATCTTTATTACAAAAGGCCACACTCCATTGAAAAACAGCGACATTTACACAGAAATATTTCCGGATATGTCAGAGGACACAAATGTTGCCATGCAACCAAATGAAAACACAAAGAAATACATCATTTTTCAAGAGGTGCATCTTCACTTCTCATCTTCAAAATAAGACTAGAAACCACGATATTTGTATAACAGATTTCTCCACTCCAAATCAACTCCTGTGAAAACATCAACATCGTTGAAAAAAAGCCAATGCGTTGAACAACGTTGGAAAATCATTCTTAATCATTTGACAAAGTTGCCCACATTCATGGGAAATGTTGCAAATGCATTTTACAGTATTCAAATGCATTTCAACGCAAATTTCATCAAGCCCGGTTTTTCTAAATAAGGTTCACATTAATCCTGTTTAAAGGGGACGTAAACAGCTGAATCGTCAGAAAAATTTAAGGAGAAAGGTAAAAGAATAATAAAAATGGCAGACATCCAACCTTTAATTATGGAAAGCACACTTTTATAGTCCCATGTTGGATTGTGTTTTAGTAACATTTCTAATTTGCTTCTTTCATCATTTAAAATACAAGAAAATCTCCGGGTGAAACCACCTCCCATTTATTGCCAGCTTTGCAAAAGACCAAAATTCTTCCACGCCTTGTAGGTAGTGTCCCTGGTAAGCGACCCCATCTAGATAAGGGCACTGACCACTTTCTGGGGTGACAGTTAAGGCTGGTTTTCACTAGCGACGGAATCAGAGTTGGAGTCGTAAGCAGAGTCATAAGTGTGCTTATGACCTAGTGAAAATAAAAAATCTGGAGTCATAATCGGAGTCAGAAGTGCAACGGAATTAGAGTCAGAAGAATCAGAACATTTCCATTTTCTTCCGACTCCACTTATGACTCCGTCACTTATGTTCTGCTTATGATCTGGTGAAACCTAGATTGTCAGAGTCGGGAGCAAACGCAGAAGGATAAACCAATAATTGCATTTAAATGTATGACTGGGTGTGCACCACATTCATTATTTTCTAAATATATTCAAAGAGCTAGCATCAGAATTCGAATCAGAACGCTGTTTTCACTCGACCATAAAGTCCTACACTTCCGATCACGACTCCGACTCTGACTGTGTCACTGGTGAAAACCAGCCTTTATGTGGCTAACTGAAATTTAGGCTAAGTTAAACTCGGGACATGGCTGGCCAGCAGTCTCTCGGAGGAGGATAAACCAATAATTGCATTTAAATGTATGACTGGGTGTGCACCAGATTCATTATTTTCTAAATATATTCAAAGAGCTAGTATCACTAAGCACACCATGGAACGCCCAGATGTTATATATATATATATATCTGCATAAAACCACCACGCAGTCGTAAGTGGAATCAGAAGAATCAGAAAGCTGTTTTCACTCGATCATAAAGTCCTACACTTTCGATTATGACTCCGACTCTTGACTGTGTCGCTAGTGAAAACCAGCCTTTATGTGGCTCAATGAAATTCTCAGGACATGGCTGGCCAGCAGTCTCTCGGAGGAGATATGTGGGGGCCACCCTTACTGCATCAAAGGGGCTCACCGGTTTTTAACAGCCTTCCCTTTCAGGTCAGGCCATTATTGCCGTGTGTCGTTACCTGTCATAGCTCGTGCTTGCATATTGTTTTTCTTCTCCCTACCCCTCCCCCTATGGTAACTGGGATCCACTTGTTAGCAATGTGACAGTACATTGGTGAATGTCACTTTCAGGGTTGTCAAGGTTACGCATTGCACTTGGCTGCAGTTCAGGCTTCACCGATCTCACAGGCACCTCCCCCCATGCTCACCTCTGTTGATGAGTTACATTTAAAAAGTTTTCCATTGTTTTACCCCTGCAAGCCAGCACTTAACAAATGATCTGTTCTCTTTGTTCACAGTATAACAAAGGCGTTTCTTACTTTAGCATGTCCATGTTTTCCGGTTTTAGAAGTAGACATTTCCACTATTTTGCACGGGCGTCCCTTGATAAGAACATGACCATTTTTACGAAGTGCTGAACACTGCTGAGGAAAAGTCTTAGATGCACCAGCATCAGCTCCTTCAAAGTCGTCGTGCTGATCAGCCATTAATGTAAACACTGAAAAGAAAATGGGGGCAAGATTAAAAGGGATCTTATGTTCACAGTCTGCATGCAAATTATTTTTTTGGGGGAGGGCCATTTGACAGTCAAATTTTACACTATGGTAGGGCAATAGACCACTATATTGGCCCAATGTAAAGGCAATTTGAGCAGGCCTGTCTTGAAAATTCAATTGTCCGGGGGAAGGATGTTGAAGTTTAAATTGAATGGTGCATTATCTTGACATACTGTACTTTTGCCCATCTAAACAAAAATTAAAGAGTTTCAAGCTCTTCCCGAAAAAAAAAACTGAAAATCTTCGGGAATCTTAGTGCTTCACTCAATAAAACAACATTTCCTTCGAGGGTGTACAACATTGTTCAACATTTATCCTATCCTGATAGCCTTCCGCCTTAATTTAGTATAAAAACTTACAAAAAGCCAGCAATACTACAGACAATATAAATTATTCCATCACAATGCAAGAAAAAACCAACTTTGTTCTAAAACGTTTCCAAGATAACATCCTTCTCAAGTTTGTCACGTGTGTATGTGAAAGCACATACGGTGCCGGGCCGAAATGAACTTCATTTCACCGGTAAAAGAACCGATTGCAAACGTTTGAAGAACCCACTATTAAAACTACACAACCCTCATTATTAAACATTGAGTTACTGTAAATTGATCACTGAAATAATCAGTATACGGAGTCTAAGACCACGTTATTTCACAAGACCCCGCTACTGGTGAAGACCAAATAAGTTCATCAAAAGATCAAAAATGTACTTCCTTAGATAACGAAAGCAAGCTCGTTTGAAACATTTAATCATCCTGCATTAACAAGGGTGCGAAGAAGTTTATGACACACCATGCGATACTAAAGGATCAAAACTAACTGCCAAGAAAATAAGACGATAAATGAGATACTTACAATCTGCAACAACCTCACGGCAACGTGGTTTAGAAAGGGAAGGCAACGAGGCCTTGTCCCACAGGAGAGGGGGTACCAATCAATTGATTAATGCCCTACCCATGACGGAAGTAGGTTTGGAAATTTTATAGTGTGTGTGACGGATATGACATCACGTTGACATTAAAAGAGATGCTTTTCTTATTTTGATCTTATTTTGCTCTGTGTTTTTAGCAGGAAGAGGCTCTTTGTGTTTTTCTTGTATGTTTGTATGTGCTTGTAATTCTTTGCCATGATTGATTGATTAAATAGCATTCACACTTTTCTTGTGACCAAGTTCCTCTTCCGCAATGAAATCGAGCAGCCCTGGGAGCGAGAGCTCCTGGAAGAGTTGTATTTCACGACCGATGTTGAGATTTTTTAGGTAGGTCATTTGGAGGAAAATGCTTTAATTTATTTTTTCTCTGATTCGTCTCATTAAGATTATTGATATGTTTTGCAGTACTATAATCCATTGTAATTAATATTGTACAATACTACGGAGCATAACAGAAATCTGTTGAAATGTGCTAAATCATTAATTTAGAAAGCTTCGTTTGAAATGCTACAGCCTCCAAAGCTTACTTAAGCTTATATTTAAATGTGGGCAGATCAGGCGCATGGCAAGGCTTATTTTAATGAAATATGTTTTAATGATATACTCCTAAAGACAGTATTCACTATTATCTTAATACTGCTGAATATCATTCAATCATCATTGCATTAATACCCAGCTGTTTCACAGCTGTCATGAGAACTAGAAACCATCTCTGAAACTGAAGACCATTTAATAGCCTACGGTTGGCTTACCTTTGCAGTGTATGGAGAATTGATTAGGACAGATGAATAGCCTGCGCCACCAACAAAACTAAGGGTGCTTTCCAAAAGTCAGAACTGGCCGCTGGACAATAGCTGGACCAGACTTTCTGGCAATGAAGTAGGCTTAATCCAAGAGGTTTTACTGAAAAACCATCTCCCCTGTTTATAATATTTTGGATTTGACTGATCTGGATGTCTAGTTTTGATCAAAAGTGAAATTCTCATTAAGATGGGAATGGGCTGGCTGGTCAGTTCTTACAAATGGAAAGCGCCCTTAAACCTCCGGTTGAATCTGCCTGCAATCCAGCACCAGAATCCTTATTGTGGGCCCCCATCTGTGTACCAGGATTTGAGTACATGCCATGATTGGCCTGTTAAAAAAGCTATTGTTTGATTAACCAGTTAGGTTAGAGGGAAATTTGAAACACACTTCCGGTAATTTGGTGAGTCCTTTGGTGGCCCAGAACAAGGATCTTAGCACTGCTTTGCAGACCTTACTAGATGGGGTGAGATTACGTCTATGATGCAGGTTGCATATGAATGAAGGGGTTAATATAGTGTTCTTTTGTGTTGGTGGGGGTTACAGAGATTTGATTTCTTCAATACCAAGTTGATAGTAGCCTTAGAAAACAGCCAACATTTGGCGACGCTACCACTGGTTCCCCCACCAAATGATCTCTGAGAAACAAGCGCAGAAATTCCATGCGGATGACGTGTCACTACCCAGATCTGGGTAATGCTTCTGATTAATTGAATCAAATTTCTCATGCGTCACGACCAATCAGAAGCACTACCCAGATCTGGGAAGTGACACATCATTAGTATGGAATTTCTGTGCTTGTTTCTCAGATTTCATTTAGCGGGGAAACCATTGGTAGCATCACCAAATGTCAGCTGTTTTCTCAGGCTAAGTTGGTATTAGGTAGATTGGTCAGTGCAAGAAGATTGAGAAGCCGGTGTTTTTAGCTCTAGCCCTTAATCTTACAAAGGGCTGGCACTACAAAAGTCAGCTTCTTTTTGATAAGGACAACTCTTTCTTCTATTGACCTAAGAACCCGCAAATGCAGACATCTCTCCTCACTCCTAGCCACAAGGGGTGTTTTGCAAGAGAGTTGTCTGCCCCTCATTGACAGAATTTATTCCATACTGATGATGTAAGTCAATGTTTACATAATATATATGGTAGTCATGAAGACCCAAATTATGTATATTTTTTCGAGGTGACCTGTACCCAAGGGGGTTTGCATAACACACACCAGTACAATCTGAAACCTGGATTGGATTACCAATTCTAGAATCCAGATTCTGGCTTCCATGTTCCTTATTTTAGGCAAACCTTTCCCCATCCAAGGCATTCCACAGTTATACTATATATTTGTGAAAAAATTCTCAGTTTTTCTGATTTGCTCTCTTGATTTAAGGAGAAGCTGTAATTATGACATCAAGAGGACAAAGTGAGACTCAAAAGCTAAAACAGAATCTCGGAGAACAGCTTGATCGATTGGTAGCCCAGCTGGCAGATTTGGAGGAATGCAAGTGAGTTGTTCTTTAAAATCTGATTACTTATGATAACCACTTCTTTGAGTTTCCAAAAGTTAAAATGAGACCTATTTTACTGTAATTAGCTTCAGCTCAGTGTTGAAAGCCAAGACACCAAATTTAACATTTTTGTTTGTCAACTATAGAATTTGTTGTTTTTCCACAATAACCAACAATATTGAATTTAATTTGTCCATTATCATCGATTATCGTATCGCTTAAGGTTTTTGATCAAATGAATGATTATAATTGATGGACGGCACACGACTACTAGCAAAAAATAATAAATGTTTTCAACTTGTTATGTTTGGTTTTAAATTTATTTTTTTANCTCATTGACAGAATTTATTCCATACTGATGATGTAAGTCAATGTTTACATAATATATATGGTAGTCATGAAGACCCAAATTATGTATATTTTTTCGAGGTGACCTGTACCCAAGGGGGTTTGCATAACACATACCAGTACAATCTGAAACCTGGATTGGATTACCAATTCTAGTATCCAGATTCTGGCTTCCATGTTCCTTATTTTAGGCAAACCTTTCCCCATCCAAGGCATTCCACAATTATACTATATATTTGTGAAAAAATTCTCAGTTTTTCTGATTTGCTGTCTTGATTTGAGGAGGAGCTGTAATTATGACATCAAGAGGACAAAGTGAGACTCAAAAGCTAAAACAGAATCTCGGAGAACAGCTTGATCGATTGGTAGCCCAGCTGGCAGATTTGGAGGAATGCAAGTGAGTTGATCTTTACAATCTGATTACTTATGATAACCACTTCTTTGAGTTTCCAAAAGTTAAAATGAGACCTATTTTACTGTAATTAGCTTCAGCTTAATGTTGAAAGCCAAGACACCAAATTTAACATTTTTGTTTGTCAACTATAGAATTTGTTGTCTTTCCACAATAACCAACAATATTGAATTTAATTTGTCCATTATCATCGATTATCGGATCGCTTAAGGTTTTTGATCAAATGAATGATTATTATTGATGGACAGCACACAACTAATAGCAATAAATAATAAATGTTTTCAACTTGTTATGTTTGGTTTTAAATTTATTTTTTTACAATGTTGCTTAAATGACTGTTATCTTTTGTTTGGGAGAGAATAATTACCGTTAAGTATTTAATTAATGTTGATTTAGTAACAGCATATATAATAATTTTATTATGTTTTTAGGGAAGATTTAGATGATGATGAATATGAGGAAACAAAAAAAGAGACGCTAGAACAACTTAAAGAATTCAAGGAGACATTGGATAAATTTGCAGCTGGGAATGTAACTCTGGTTGATGAGATCAGCAGCATGCAGTTGGTAATTTTTAACAGCTTAAATACAGTTGAACCTCCTCCAAGCTGCCATTTAAAAGCCCCCTGGGGTGCTTGTACTTGGAAATTGCCAAGGCAGAATAAAAAAAAAAAGATTTTATGTGTTGATTAATTATTAGCAAACCAACCCGACCTCCATTCAGTAGACACTGTATTCATGGGACGCTTGCCTCGGTCCCAAGGGTGTCCCCTGAATAGAGGTTCCAATGTAAGCTTACATTGGCCTGCGAACAGCAGACGTTTCTCCTCTCTCATCGCCACTGAGGGACGTTTTGCGAGGAGGATATCTGCGACTCAGCGACAGAAATCCCATACTGATTACGCAAAATCTGTCCGGAATCCAGTCAGAAGCACTAATTGGTCGACGGAGTAGTTTAATTGTTTAAGTTATTGTTTACGAATGACAGACAAAAGACAAAAGGCCGCAAAGGTCAAATGTAACAAAACAGCCATTATTTGTGGAATATAGTCTTCTCTAGAAGAAGCATTTGAGTTTTGCTGGAGCTCATTCGCAGATGAACACAACACTTTACCAAAATCGACCAGGAGAAACGTAAAATTGAACAAATTTGTATTTGAAACCGCATGACTACCGGAATTATTATGTAAACATTGATTTGCGTCATCAGTATGGAATTTCTGTCACTGAGTTGCAGACGTTCCTCCTGCGAAAAGTGCCTCAGCGGCGATGAGCAAGGAGAAACGTCTGCCGTTCGCAGGCTAAGCTTACATGGCTGGAAAGCTGTTATTTGATAGTGGATTTGTTTTGGAGACTGACCTGGTCTGGTCAGCCACACTACTGGTTACAGAACCCTTTGTTCGTTACCTGAACCAGAGACATTTTCAAATACGTTACTTTATCAACAGGCCATTCAGGCAGCCATAAGTGAAGCTTTTAAAACTCCTGAGGTCATCCGCTTGTTTGCAAAGAAACAACCTGGACAACTAAGACAAAGACTAGCAGAGGTATAGGATGTGAAATCTTTTATGGCTGCTTTAAAAATAACTAGTGATAATACAGTTAACAGGGCTCATGCAGAGTCTTGAATTCTTGAAAAAGCCTTGAAATATAATTTGCCCAGCAATTTCCCAGACCTGGAAAATGTCTGGAAAATAGAGATAAAGTCATGAAACATTGATGAGATCTGGCAGAAATAGGGGTGGAAAATGGAAGAAACTGGGATGTGAACTGGGAGAAATTGGACTGGGTTATATATAAAGTGGTGTAGAAACAGAATATTGTGGGCAGAACTTCTCAGAACTGAAAAAAATGGCTGGTTACTAGGAGAAATAGTTTTGAGGTGGGAATGGAAATTGGGAAGATTGGGCTGACAACTGGGAGAAATTAATGTTCACTGAATAAATGAATATTTGTGATGAAAAAACTCTTGATAACAAGAAATTGGGATAGGATTTCAAGCTGTTATATTAAATGTCAAGTTTTCATGTAAGCAAAATAATGATAGCTGCGAAAAGAAAATCTGCTTTTGAGGGATCTCTATTTCTCATTGTTGATTGAAGTGATGTCATTTCCTGCAGATGCAAAGAGATCTTAAGACTGGTCACCTGAGTCAAACAGCATACACACAACAAGCAGTGGAAATTTTAACAGCTTTAAAGAAGCTTGGTGAACAGGTAATGCACAATATATTATTTGCTATTACAGTTGACTCTCGATAACTCGAACCCTTGATTACTCAAACCGCCTACTGACTCAAAGTAATTTTTGTTTCCCCTCAGATCATTTCTATATGATTTTACCCTCAATAACTCGAACCATGTGTTAAGCACATGACAAGTCTGAAACATTGAATTTTTTTCAAAACAACCATTTCAATTCTTTGCGTTTACTTTTTCGTCACTCCAGTTCAAATTCAGTGTCCATCCTTAATTCCTAATTTTCATTGAAAATATCAGTCTATATCCCTTACTGCCCTTGAAGTGAAGTGTGCATGATATTACTTGCATTCCCTCCCCATCCATTTGCTTATTTCCAGTTATTTGTTTCAAACTCCTGAAAAATCGAACTCCCAATAACTCAAACTTTTTTTGCTTTCCCTAGAATGTCTGAGTTATCAGAGTCAACTGTAATGACAATTGCAAATTAACATTGCCACCACTGGAGATTTATTTATCCCAGAAACATATCTTTTAAGCAGTTGACTGTCATAATCATAGTGATGCATATGCAGAGATGTCATGCCATGTTTGCATTACCCCCTGGATGCCAACAACCCAAAACAATATGGTTCCTTAAAAAACATGGGTCTCGGAAAATTTTGGCCGGATCACAGAATCCGGAAGCCTTTGTGATGGGTCTCGAAGTCTCGTTTTTGGGTCAGGATTTTGCATCTCATGGTCTCAGTCTTGAATTTGAAACCATTCTATACCCCTTATACCCCCTTTCCGCCGATAAGCACAAATCAATCCAGTTACCAAATTATATGAAGTCATAGAGTCCATACCATCAAAATTCACTTTTATGAATTGTATTTACAAAATAATTTTTGACAGTAGTGAAATGTGGCATGCAAAAATGCCCCAGAAACTGTACTGTGGATAAAAAAATTTTCAAGTTGTAAAGGAATGGAACACAAATTTCATGAAATATTTACTATGAAAACAGTGTTCTTTTAATATTTGTACATGTTTCTTATCATGTGATTTCAGCTCAAACCTCAAGAGGCTGAGTTTCTGGCTGTTAATACCAATGCTGCTTTGAGTACCTTTGAAAAAGTTTCTGAAAATATTGGTAAGTGCATGTATTATTTAATTTCAATACGCCCGCGATGATCAGATTGATATAATACAAGGACTCAGCAGGGCTCGAAAAAAAACTTAAATTCCATTTTGTCCTTTTGGGCAAGCAGCTTTCATTTTTTGTCTGGGGCCACTCTTGCTCCTCTTAGTTAACCCCTTAAGCCCTGATATCCACTTACAAATTCTCCAAACTAATCTCCATAGATTTCCTTAAAAAATTAGTTGAGAGAATTTGATATTCATTTACAAATTCTCCAAACTGATCTCCACAGATTTCCTTGAAGAATTAGTTTGGAGAATTTGATAAAAGATCAAAGCATTTTCCCCGAGGTGACCCTGGTCAAGTAAGCTTCAAAAGTTACTTGCCCATCGACAAAGAAAATCTACTTGTCCGGGAGTACCGGACGAGACATTTTTCGAGTCCTGCTTCGACTACGTGAAAAGGTATAAACAAAAATCCTTCGATCATAAATCTGAGGGTGAGAATATTTCATCGCGTCCAACTTCCAAATAAACGCCATCCTCTAATATGCACTGCATTTGAGGTGTAAAATATTTGATAAGCGCCGCGGCGCTTATTCCAGTGAATACGGTACAGGGTAACATGCGTACCAAGACCAGGGGCACCCAACGTCAATTTTCGGAAAAGATCTGTACGGAAGACGATTTTAGATCTAGAATTTTCGGAACATTTGTTGTAAAATTTCTTGCTTGCCCGCCTCTCCTAGGATTTTCGAACATCTAAAAAATGTTATAATTGCCCATTTTTAAGGATTTTTACCCTAGAAAGGTCACCTAAAATTTTCGGGAGCCTTTTTTCTGGCTGAAATTTTCGAAAAGGTAAGTTTTGATCCCTATAATTTTCGGATCACTAGACTTTCAGCTAGGAAATCCGAACAGATGAAAACTTTCTAGGGGATAAAAATATGCCTATATCTACCGTTTACATACTAAAATACGTTTAACAATGCTATGTTTAAGTGGTTTTGAAGTATATTCTCGTTGGGTGCCCCTGTCAAGACTTTAAATGGCTGCCACCCTCGTTTCTTGACTCTTCACTCCTCCACGCTCGTATAATATACGTTACACGTGTCACGTCCTCTCGGAAACCGGTCGTTTCGATACAAACTCAAGCAGTGAAATTGCACAAAAACATTGTTCACTTCAAGTATAGTTTGCGAGTGAACAAGAAAAACATTTTGGGTGAATATCTTCCTTCTTTAAGCCAAGTATGTGGAATGATTTACACCTCGACTTGATAAACTTGTATCGAGACGACGTGTATCGAAACAACTTTGTATCGAAACGACCGGTAACCTTCCCCTCTTACTGTGGAGAAGAAATATGAGAATAGCTACTTGCAGCCTTTAACAAATAGGAAACTTTTAAATTCTTTTAATTTTCCCTTGCAGGGAGCGGGGATAAACTTCTGAAAGTGGCTGGCTCACAAGTAGAAGATGCGCAAAAATGATAAAATCATGATCAATAATTGATCATTACATACCAAAATTACTAGTGATCTTCCAATCATGGCCATGATGCTGACATTATTTAGATAAGAAAGCTTTTAACTCTTTGATGTACAAATTCTTTTTTTTTTTTTCACATAATGTCTTTTATCATAGAGGAGTCAGATTGACAGGTATTGTGAAAATGTTTGTAGAATTTTTCATTGGCTTAGTTTTTCAGTGTTAAATTTCCATCTTTTGCTGTAATACACCAAAGATAAGACATAGATTTACACGGGCATAGATCTAGAAGTGAGTTAAAAAGCTGAGGCACAGCTGAATTTTTTGTAAACTTACTTTGAGGTACATATCCGGTCCGAATGTAAAATTTGGTATCAGTACTTTTCCTGCTGATCAAAATTTCATGGTATCGTCCAGGTTTTACTTGGCTGTAGGCAGACTTTTGCGGCGTAGACAACACTAGGGCCAGAAAGTATTGACTTCTAACAACTAGGGATTATGCTCCCAACGGTCGCAATTAGAAGAACTAGGCCAGGAGTGAAAAACTACGAGCAAAAATATCTTCCTCGTAACGGATGGATATTTTTGAAACACGGTCAGTCTTTTTGGGAATCATATCTTGTTTTAGTTTAAAATAATTTAGCCGCCATTTATTGCAAGTGAAGCAATTAGTTTAATTCAGAAGAGGACGCACGCTTCCGATGGTTCATCCTTCTGGTTGTATAAGGCATTTCTGCTTTATTTTTACAAATTTTGAAAATGAAAAGCAGCCTAAATACGGTAATTTTCATGGAAAGTAGCTTTTCAGTGAAAATATATAAGTAAAATAGTAACATCTGTTGTTTAATAAACGAGGAACATTTTGAAGTTTTTATATCGGTACGTTGTTGTGTAGCTACAACTATATTTAATCATATTGCTAGTTTGATAAAAGTGTTCAGTGCAGTAAGATGGAACTATTAGAGAGATATTAAAAGTACTGAAAAATAACTTTGAAGTTTGATGTGAAAAACATTCATAAAGTTGTATGTTTGAATTAAATATCAGCAGATGTCTGGGAACTACAATGTTGTACCTGTTCCCTGTTCGCTTTCGGGTACTCCTACCTCAAAACAGGTAAGGGGTTTGTTATGGCTTATTTTTATCTAAAAAACGGCAACTTGCTTTTTTTGAAACTTACTTGTTTATACACCCTTTCTAAAACTTTACAAAGCAGGTACATTTTAATTATTTAATTATTTAGGCTGAAGGTAAACACAGTAGTCCCAAAACTGTGGAATACTGGCGCCTGGACATCACACTGTCTGAGGAATCTAAGCCTATCAGCTGAATAGCTTCTTTTCAAAGAGCAAGTTTAACGTTGTCTAGACTTTAATTTTGCTCATTTTGTTGAGATTTTAAAGCGCTTTTTCCCCCGAGACGACTTTTCCGTCTGATCCAAAGATTTTGTCGTTTTCGAACGGAAATTCTTATTAAATATTAAAGAGGTTGGGGACTTTAGTGCCTTTTCGGACCAGTTTCACTTAGATGTGCCGATCTTATAAGCTAAAATAATACATTTTGCTCACACCAGTTGAGACGGCCGACGTCTGAAACTGGCCGACAAGAGATTTTATATTAGAGTACACATTGAAAGGTCACCAATAAGCTCTTCAGTTCAAACTTTATATATAGCCATTGTTATGACTTGAGCTCAGTTTATAAAAAGTAGTAGAATTTATATTGCCCGCATGAAAAAAGTTTCAAAATAGAATGGGAGTAAAGGGAAATTGCAAGGATGTCCTACGTAAAACAACTTGAACGTATAAGGAAATTTTACGTCATATAGTGATTTTGGAAGGCTGGGATGTCATGGAAACGTACCATCAAAAACAGTGAGCTGGTATACGGTATTTTTTACAGAAAAGGTACCCCTTTCGTACACCCTCGATCTTCTATTAAAAATGAGTAGCCCTTCACATAGCTAGTATAGAACTTTGCATCCCTCAGTAACTGCTGTAAATGCACTGTTTTTTAAATATGAATAAATCACAAAACCAGAAGGTTTTCTCGACTTTTTCACAGCCATAAAATACATCTGTTGGCCCTTTGGGCCTTTTTACCCGCCGATGACAGATTTACCTACCCTTTCATGCACTTCAACTTGTGAAATTCCTACCCTTTTTAAATACCTAAGGTCTGAAAAAGCTACCCCTTCGGGCGGAGAGTCCCAGTATAAGCCACTATACCCATCCCGGTATGATATGCAGGTGAAATGTTGATTGTTTTGTTGTTAAACGCATTGCTGTTATCACAGTGTCCTTCTCGTTCCTCGAAGCACTGAACCTTAACGCCGTTAAAACACTGTGAATTCTGACAAGTTGTTACATGTCTAGCTATAAGCTCTCTTAGACTTGCCGATAGTTTCGAAAGCCTGTCGACAAGCTATCAGTGCGTTTTCGCGGTAAGCTGCCACGGTGTTAGCTACCTGTCGGTAAACCGGCATCAGTAAAAGCCTGGTTCTAACATGCCGCCGCTGTTGCACCTGCGACATGGCCGCCGGTACTGCCTGGGATACCGTTCCGATATGAGCACAGAAGTGGCCGGCAACATTGCTCATGCGAGTCTTTACTCCCGGATGACTGCGACACTGACTCAAGTTCAAATTCACAAGAATGCCGGCGGTAGAGCTCTGCTATGGCTCTAGTTGCCGGAGGCGCATGTTCTGATTCGTCCGAGAAGTGTCCCAGGCGTTACCGGCGGCTTCGTCGCAGATACATTGGCGCGGGCATATGAGAACCAGGCTTAACCAGTCGGCTACTGAGCTCAGTATCAGGAGAACTTGTCGGTAAGCTGCGGAACCTGTTGATTGGCTGTTTTTCCGCGGAACTTTTGTAGTTTATCCGAAAACTCGCAACCATTCGGCTCAAAATTGTTGACGTTCCCTTCTGGGCGTTTGCTGTCCCATTGTCATTTGGTGCGAGTAAAAGACTTCAAATTTAAGCTCGTCTGTTAAACGTTGCTTATGCTTGGTTTAAGGAGGCAGGATCCCACCAGAATCTCGAGATTTTTGTGGCCTTATTGATGCTCTATCTCCTAACATGTGATAACTGCGCCAAAAAGGAGTCCATACGGCCCCATTCCACTAACAACCATTACTTATCTATCTATTTATTTATTTATTCAGGAACATCTGGTTTTATTAGCATATAAACCGTGATTCTGAAAACGACACAGAACATAAGTGTTGCTTAGGGCTGGAAAATAGCCACGATTACAAAGAGTGATCGCGAACAATTTTTCGTTTGAGAGTGATGTGTCTTAGCGAGCGACACCAGCGACTCGGAAAAAAAACCCCGAGATCTCTAAGGAGTAAAAAAGCTGCTACTCCGTCCTCCAATTTAATAACTACAGGAGACTCGTAAATACCAGCTAAAGCCACCTTGCTAAGCCGGCTTATAACTTGTACCCCCTAGCTTTTAAATCTAGCTGAGCTGTAGTTGATGAAATTCTGCAATGCGACTAGTTTAAATTACATAAAGTCTTAATTTTCGGTAGAGTAGTGCTTTTTCATGCTAATATTTCACAAGTACATGTAGACCAAATAGAAATTTCGCATTTTGGCGAGATTTCTTTGCCCGCTTCAAGCTTCTAAGACAGGTGCGAACTAAAAAATACTTCGCGAAATTCCAGTTTTCAGAAGATACTTTCAAGATATCAAGCAAGAGCTCACAACAGATACCGTAACATTCCGAAAATAAGCCCCTCCAAATATAAGCCCCCCAAACCGGTAATGCAAAAAACCCTCCGGTAAATCGCCCCTTCAAATATAAACCCCTCAGGGGCTTGTGCTTGGAAAATTGCCCTCAAATACAACGTAAAACAAAGCAAAAACGGTAAATTCACTTCCAACTATAAGGCTAGCCCTTTCAAGTTTGAAACGCAAATTTCCCTCCGTAGATAAGCCCCTCCGAATATAAGCCCCTCCAAAAATAAGCCCCTCAAAAAGGGCTTTTGAGAAATATAAGCCCTGGGGCTTATTTTCGGAATGTTACGGTATTTTTGAAAGAAACTGGAATTTATACAGAGAATGGCGCTCTTACTTCCGTACATATACTGGCCCTAATCCTGCGGTCTATCCAGCACAGCCCGCCAAACAGCTGTTCGCACAAATCTGGAAACGAACGACATGGCAGCGTCACGTACTTATTCTATGATAATTACGATATCTAAAAGCTGGACAAAGGCCTCATTCTATTGACTACAAATTGAAGGTTCAAATAAATCATTTAAACTAGCGCCGAAAAAAAAAAAAGAAAAANCCGTAACATTCCGAAAATAAGCCCCTCCAAATATAAGCCCCCCAAACCGGTAATGCAAAAAACCCTCCGGTAAATCGCCCCTTCAAATATAAACCCCTCAGGGGCTTGTGCTTGGAAAATTGCCCTCAAATACAACGTAAAACAAAGCAAAAACGGTAAATTCACTTCCAACTATAAGGCTAGCCCTTTCAAGTTTGAAACGCAAATTTCCCTCCGTAGATAAGCCCCTCCGAATATAAGCCCCTCCAAAAATAAGCCCCTCAAAAAGGGCTTTTGAGAAATATAAGCCCTGGGGCTTATTTTCGGAATGTTACGGTATTTTTGAAAGAAACTGGAATTTATACAGAGAATGGCGCTCTTACTTCCGTACATATACTGGCCCTAATCCTGCGGTCTATCCAGCACAGCCCGCCAAACAGCTGTTCGCACAAATCTGGAAACGAACGACATGGCAGCGTCACGTACTTATTCTATGATAATTACGATATCTAAAAGCTGGACAAAGGCCTCATTCTATTGACTACAAATTGAAGGTTCAAATAAATCATTTAAACTAGCGCCGAAAAAAAAAAAAGAAAAAGTTTACTTTGTAAACTGGAAACCTTTTTTCATCCTTCGACACGTGCGACTGGTACAGTTGCGCTTGTGTTTTTGCAGGTGTCGTGTCAGTACGACAGAATTAGCAAGGTTTTTTAAGACAACTGGAAAAAAGAAAACTCCAGTCATTAAAATAATTTAAATGCATGCAAATCCAATTTGAGTTGTACACAATCACAATACAAAGAGACCACACACATGGGTGTAAGGACATGTGATCAATGACGTCACGGTTCTTGTGGCGTGAGGAGGGGAAAGAAATCGCAGGCAGTATTGGATTACACATAAAAGACGAAATTTTCAAGAGTATTTCTTCTCCGATTTCAAGTTTTGGTCAACCAAAATGTGTCTGATGTCGCCAGGAACGACCCTTCTTTGTGTTTTCAGTATTCTGGTCGCTTTGTGTGGAGGTTTGGACCTTGAAGATGCTGGTAAGTGAATTCAGCTGGCCGAAGCATGTTTACAATCTTCAGACCCAAAAGCGCGTTTTTTGACACTGCTCTAAAAGGCTTTCTGTTTCAGCAGAGTACCTCACTTCGGGCTCAGAATTGTGCTGTTTTTGATTTCTGTGTACTCGTGCTAGGTAGAAAATGGATCTGTTGGTAGTTCTACAGCTTGTTTACTTGAGAGTCGGTGTTTTTTTTCCAGTTCGTTTAAACACCACGGGAAGCGAATTGTAACACAAAGTTAAGCTCAAACAGTTTCAGCAACAGAGATGATATTGAAAATTCTTCGTGTTTTTGTCGCTTGAAACAATAAGTTAAACAAGAATAAGTGTAAAAGGTGATAACTTTATCTTTTTCTGACTAATTTGCAATATTAAAGCACCGAGAGTTTTCTTTTGCGGCTCTCTACCTAGGCAATGACAAACCATGCGCCATATTGCAAATATTCACAGCAACAAATTTGTGCGAAGATTTGCATTGCTTTTGCAAAACGTTTTGTCTTCGTACAGTCTTTCCACGTTTAATTTTCTTTCGTTTACCTATCGGGTACTGTGCTAGGGAATGTGAACTGGATTTCGATCCTATTTGACAAAGTAAAGTAGGTTGTCGCCAAACAATGTCTTTTATGTATCTTCGGTTTCTTGTCATAAATTTTGCGAAACCTTCTTTTCTGTTGAAACAATGCATTCACGGGATATAGAACATACTAAAATACTTATTTACGCCTTAGATTTGCCGAAAGGTTTTCTCAGTTTGTTGGTTTTTTTATGGGGCACATGTATGTAAAATACTTTCAGATATCGACTTTTCGAGATTTAGATTACTTTGTAATTTGCATGCGTAACGACGCAGTTGGAAAGTTTATTAAGCTTTCATAACAGAAATGCTTTCCTAGCTCGATTGACTAATTTTCACTTAATCTGATGTTTAAATGCCTCCCATTCCAAATTTCATCGATGAATGATTCATTTTCTTTCCTCTTTATCTGTCATTTTTATTAAAGAACTTTAAATACCAGCGTCAAACTATTCGTTTCGACTGTTTTCGTCATTTTTGCACAAATCATAAGTGTTTATATGTGCAAATTAAAGTCAGACTACTTTTTATTCAAGTATTCAAGAAAAAACAATATCCGATTAACTCCCAGACGAGGAAACTCGGTTAGTTGAAATGTGGAAACATGATACAGCCAAACTAAAAAAGTACCCTGTCCAATATCTGGAATTAGGAAACTCTTAGTTTCTCTTTGCTGGGGAATTTTTTACAGTTACGCAAAGGAACAAATTTAATGCTGGGCTGTCATTTTCATTTGTGTCCCAAACGTTCTTCCTAAGAATCGAACCTAATATTGTCAAAACGATGTTAAAACGTAAGCTTTTAAATGTTACATGTTTGCATGTACATCATCTTCTTGTTACAGTAAATATGGTATAGAATTTAGCTTTTTCAAATTTTTCAACTTTTTTCTTTTGCCAATGACGTGATCCCCTATAAACTGACATACTATGTCATCTTCCCTCTTCATATCTACACCCTTTTTTGGGGGTCTTTCCGTATAGTCAAAAATAGCACTTAAAACGTAAAACCATTTTTAACCAAATGCAGCTATCTAGTATTTAATGTACCATGTCTCTTGCAAACAACCCTGTCCGTTGGTAAAACACTTGGACATTGTAAGAATTGAGAATTAATTGATGCTTCAGGGTCTATTTGGGTTGTACCCAGCCATTATTTTTAGCATATAATATAGTCAAGATCCAAGTGTTCCTTTCCGCTTGACTTGGTCTTTTCAATTTGATTTTCAAATAGCACTCCCTTTTATTAGCCAAGCTTGAAATTTATTAAACAAGTTTTATAGAATCAAATATATGGCTCTTGGTTTTTCATTGCTGGTGAATTTTTTTACAGTGGCATGGTGTGGCAAAGTGCAAGATTAGGCCTTTGGGTTAATCCTTGAGCATAAAAAATAAAATGTAAATTCTCAGACAGTCGCTAGCAAATCAATGCTCACATCTCAAGGCTTGAACATTGAAAATCGTAAGCTCATTAAATATTTGTCTTCTGTACTCAAAACTCTTAGGAAGTGAAACTCTACTTGAGAATAATTAATTTGAAATTATGAACATATGAAAATCACGGTTGGTCGTGGTCGCTGAATCTGTTCGTTTCAAACCTGTGAAAGGATGATGATGAAATTATGAATATATTAAAATCATATATGTGAACTGGGGAACCAATTCAACGACCTGCTCCCAGTTGGCTTGTTAGCTTAATTGGTACAGCGCTGCACTGGTATTGCAGAGGACAAGGCTTCGAATCCTGTACAAGCCTGAATTTTCTTCAGGCTTTCTTTTCGCAGCTGCATAAGTTGCATATACAACTTCGATGATCTTCCTTCAAATAATAATTATTTTATTTTCCCAAGTAAAAACAAGTCAAGAGAGTTTTGAACTAAGAAAATAAATGAGCTTTTTGCTTAATAGCATTCAGGCTGTGCATACAAGTGCTATTTATTTCAAAAGTTGCCATCTTCACTACTTGACGATTGAAAACAATTACTAAAAGCCATTCTGAAACTCTTGGACAGTGTTAAATGTTAATTCTCATGACCTCTTTGACTGATTAAGCATCAATATTATTGGTGAGAGAAATGTCACTGATTTTGAGAAGGCTAATGACTGATGTTGATGTGGTTTCAATGACCCTTTATCTCACGTACTGTATGTAACTTCCACAGGGTTTGACTTTGTACAAAATGAGTACGCTCGCGCCCTCACTGAGTATCATGCTGTTAACAAGACTGTAATGCACATCAGGGCTGCTGGCTGCCGCAAACAACCAGTCACATATACAATCACCGAACCCGACACACCTTTCAGAATTGATGAAAAAGGCCACATTTGGCTTGATAAGCCTCTGAACTCTGAAAAAGTGAAGTCATATGTTCTGCATGTGAAGGCTGTGTGTGGAAATGGCGAGAAGAAAGTTGCAAATACTGTGGTACACTTTAATGTGATCAACATGAACAAACATGCGCCGCAGTTCGAATTTGAAAAGTACAGGTGTGATATAGTTGAGAACACCCGTGAAATGCGCTTTAACCCTACATTGAGAGTCCTGGATGCCGATCGTGGAGAAGCTGGCAGAATAAAGAATGTAACAATTGTTGAATCTGGTCTTCCTTTTGTTTTCATGGTTGATGAGAATGGAGTTGTTACTGGGAAAGCAACTCAAGACATGGATGCAGAGGACATCACCAATTACTTCTTTGACATTATTGCTTGGGATAATGGACACCCTTCTAAATCATCTTTCCCCGTGAGCTTGGAATGTGAAGTGGATGATGTGAACGAGTTTCCACCACAGTTTATGAAAGACAGCTACCAAGCAACCATCCAGCGTGGGAGGACTTACGACAATATCTTACAGGTACATGTACAAACTATTTTGTTATTTTGCAAGTTTTATGTTAGAGGTGCAAGGGAAGATCAAGAAGGATGAATAGTATCATTTCCACTTATGTACCTAACTTTGTCTCTCCAATTTTTTTTTACAAAGTATCGGTAACTACATTGACTTGGATCTGTGAAATTTCTCTTTGGCAATCATAGGTTGCACATGTGTAGGGTACCCACAGAGTGCAGTAAGCCAATCAAGCCGTTATCAGTTTGTTGTATGAATCCCTCATTACTTCGTTTTAAGATAATCTTTTTGCTTGACTGCAATATTTTTTTTTTGCAGACACTCAGTCGCCACTGGCTACAATTTATTTACCTATGCCTACAGATAAACTGGTTAAGTGGAAATTCAACAATGTTGTTATTAACATATCTTTTTCATTTCACTCTTCTAGATTCTTGCTGAAGACAAAGATATGGGCTTGGTCAATGGTCGTGTATGCAAGTATATCGTCGAAGGTTTCAATTTGCCTTTCAAGGTGAGTGAGCAAGGTGTTGTTAGCCTGGACGAGCCACTGGGACCAGATGCTTATGATACGTATGATTTTCAAGTGGATGCTGTGGACTGTAGTGGAATGATGTCATTGAAAAGTGCGAAGATATCCATTACCGTGAAGACACCTTGCCATGCAGGTAGGTTATAGCCAACAGGTTTGCAAGTCGTGATTCACCAATCACTGAGACTCTGTATGCAACATTAGTCGTGCAATGATGATGCTTATTAAGCCTTATAATACTTTTTTGATTCTCTTGTTTCCTTCGTCATTGTTTTTGTTCAAGCTCACTAGTAGCATTACCACTCAAAACAATTCTTGATACATGTATGTGACAATTGTCAAAAAACCAACTATTTGATGGACAATGCGTGATAAAGAATAATGACATCCACAGATACCCATGGAGAGGGCTCTACAGCATACCACAGAGAAACTGCTGAATACTTTCTTTATTGCACTTTCTCTGACCCCCATCTCCAACCCATTCCTTCTCTTGTTGAGAAGCTATTTCATCTAAAATAGAAGTATCAGTATCATTATGCATACAGGATGAAAAATTAACACTTTTTGTTCATGTCTCTAAACTAATTTTAGTTCATATGTTGTACACTGTACTGTTATATTGTAATAGTAACATCATACGAACTTCCACTCCAACCTTATTTATAGGTGGTGAATAATTTTTGATTTTCTGCCTACATACTAATACAGTGGAACCTTGATAACTCAAACTCCCGGCTAACTCGAACTAAGTCCAATTGCCTTTGGATTTCACTCACTTTTCCGCCATTTTTACTCGGTTAACTCAAATTTCTTGGTAACTCAAATTCACTTTTCTTTCCTTGATCAAAAATTCACTGAAATTTACCCCGATAACTCAAATTCTGGTTCTTGTAACTCCACTCGAGTGCCATCCCATTAGCTCTTCTTGTTGTATAAGGGTAAAAACACTAAAACTAACTCAGTCAACAATGCTACGGCAATTTATTTTAATTAGTGCAATGAACGGATCATGTTTTATCATAAAAATGGTTAATCATTTTACCGTTTCTTACAAAATAATTTAGATTTGCATTGCACTATACACTGAAGTGCTGAAAAATCAGTAACTATCAATTTTTAACGTGGCAAATTAAATTTTACAATGACCGCGATAACTCAAACTGTTTTTCGTTTCCCTTCAGAGTTTGAGTCACTGGGGTTCTACTGTAGTTCCTTTTGGTCATTAATTATTAATGTTAGAAGTCTAGATTTTTGTCTGTTATGGTGTTGGAGAGGATGCAGGAAATGATAAAAATAATTCTAATGTTTTAAAAAATATTGCTCACTCCATTCCTTAGTTCTTTACCAATAATTAAACCTTGAATCCATTGAATAACTTATAATGAAATGAGTTTATTTCTATGTATTTGCTATTTTAAAAAAAAAGTGTCAACTTGGATCCAAAACTGTTGATATCCATTTGGAAATGATAATTTTGTTGTTGTCACATGTAAGCTGCCTCCCTTAGCTTATAGGCTGGCACATCAGTATTTATCTATTTATATCTTGTTTGGTTATGTTCTGTTTACAATGAAAGTCAGAGTTTCGTATTTTTTCTTGGCATCAAATAGAGTATGTGTATTACTAGCAACAAACACCTGCTAAACCAAGAACTACATTCCTTTCCCAAGCTTANGCATTGCACTATACACTGAAGTGCTGAAAAATCAGTAACTATCAATTTTTAACGTGGCAAATTAAATTTTACAATGACCGCGATAACTCAAACTGTTTTTCGTTTCCCTTCAGAGTTTGAGTCACTGGGGTTCTACTGTAGTTCCTTTTGGTCATTAATTATTAATGTTAGAAGTCTAGATTTTTGTCTGTTATGGTGTTGGAGAGGATGCAGGAAATGATAAAAATAATTCTAATGTTTTAAAAAATATTGCTCACTCCATTCCTTAGTTCTTTACCAATAATTAAACCTTGAATCCATTGAATAACTTATAATGAAATGAGTTTATTTCTATGTATTTGCTATTTTAAAAAAAAATTGTCAACTTGGATCCAAAACTGTTGATATCCATTTGGAAATGATAATTTTGTTGTTGTCACATGTAAGCTGCCTCCCTTAGCTTATAGGCTGGCACATCAGTATTTATCTATTTATATCTTGTTTGGTTATGTTCTGTTTACAATGAAAGTCAGAGTTTCGTATTTTTTCTTGGCATCAAATAGAGTATGTGTATTACTAGCAACAAACACCTGCTAAACCAAGAACTACATTCCTTTCCCAAGCTTAGCCAATCACATTATGCCTTCCAAATTTTGGAGGGTTTACCTTGTCCACAGGGTAACGCGATAATTACTTGATCTGCATGAAACACTGAGAAAGCTTTATGACCTCTAATTACTCAGTCAGATTTTAGAATACTCTGAGCACTGCATAACCTTAGCTAAGGAAAGAAAAGAAGGAAAAAGGTAACAATGGGGTGATGTTTTTACACTATCCCAAGCTCATGAGTTGTGTTTAACATGTTAACACTTTATTTCAAAACTGTTGATTGGTCATTAACCCCGCGAATAAAACAACAGAAAAGGAATGTTGTTCTCAGTTGAGCAGGCGTTTGTGGGGAGGGAAGAAATAGAAGCTCCCTTAAAAATGCCTGCGTGGGAGGCTAGTACAGGCGAGATTGGTTCAAAAGGTATTGTCCCAATGCTGTGCTTTGCTTCAAGTTTCATGTGAGAGAAGTGATCAAATATTTTATTAACCCTCTCACTGCCAGAGTGCTTGATGGAGTTTTGTAAGTTGACTCTAACTTTTGATTCTGCGGACCAAATCCTATGATGTGACCATTCAAATGAAACCTCTTGGCCTGTACTTTCACATGGTACTGTTTATTTGGGATATAGTTCTAACTTTTGAGTCTGTGGACAAAATCCTATGATGTGACCATTCAAATAAAAGCTCTCTGCCTGAACTCACACATGGTGCTATTTGTTTTTCAAAATTTTACAAAATGAAATTTGCAAACTTACTCGAATTTTGCCTTTGGCTTTATTTGACAGTGAAAGGGTTAATATGAGTGAAAAAAGGTGCAAACAAGGGTGATCAGATTGGTTTCTATGCATTCCATTATTTAACTCGTTGTGGAAGTTTAAAGAAATGCTGGCTACATACACTTAAGTATTGCGCATGTGTAATATACATTACATGTAGGATTACCGGCCCATCTGGTCGCCCACAATTATTTTAGTAGTCTCACTGAGAGTATACCGTAAAATTCCGAAAATAATCCCCGGGGCTTATATTTTTCAAAGGCCTTTTTTGAGAGGCTTATTTTTGGAGGGGCTTATATTCGGAGGGGCTTATCTATGGAGGGAAATTTGCGTTTCAAAATCGAGTGGACTAGCATTACAGTTGAAAGGAAATTTACCGTTTTTGCTTTGCTTTACTTTGTATTTGAGGACAATTTCCGAGTACAAGTGCCCTGGGGGCTTATATATGGAGGGGCGATTTTACGGACGGTTTTTTGCGTTACAAGTTTGGGGGGCTTATATTTGGAGGGGCTTATACATGGAGGGGCTTATTTTCGGAATTTTACGGTATGATTTTTCTTGTTGAATTTGGGCTCAATTTCAAACTATTTAAACAAATTCACTTGTTTGTTGTTGTGGTTTTTTTTACAGAGTTTGTTGGTCCTGCCAAACACGAGCTCACACTTCAACAATGCACGGGAAAAGTGATGGTTACTCCGGATATCAAACTGAATGATTGCGCCAGAAAGGAGAAAAATGCCAACTTTTCTGCTCTTGTTTATATGGAGACACCTTCTGGGATGGGCTGCGACAGAGAAACCTTTGAAGCATCTGATATTTACACACTTTGCGGAGCAAGTGACTTTATTGATCTTCTTCCCAGACCTGGAACAGGCAGAGAATGGACAAAGAAGTTGAAAGTATTTACTAAAAAATGGGGAGGCAAAGGTTAGTTTTTCANGCACGGGAAAAGTGATGGTTACTCCAGATATCAAACTGAATGATTGCGCCAGAAAGGAGAAGAATGCCAACTTTTCTGCTCTTGTTTATATGGAGACACCTTCTGGGATGGGCTGCGACAGAGAAACCTTTGAAGCATCTGATATTTACACACTTTGCGGAGCAAGTGACTTTATTGATCTTCTTCCCAGACCTGGAACAGGCAGAGAATGGACAAAGAAGTTGAAAGTATCTACTAAAAAATGGGGAGGCAAAGGTTAGTTTTTCAGTAGACTAGTGAAACCTTTATAAGCAAATCCTGGCTGACATCAATGTGTACATTTTGGCATATTAGCATTCAAGTTTACCCTGTGCAGAAGAAAACGTGAAAAGATTTATTGTTGATAACAGCTAATTTTTAGCTGTAATTGTTGTTTACTTTCAGAAAAGAATGGCTACTTCTTTGATGGTAAAACTTATGTTGAAGTTCCCGACACTGCTGTGCCAGAGGACATTGGTGATAAGTTCACCATCAGTACTTGGGTCAAGATGGGTTTGTCAAAGGGTCGTCAGACCATTGTTGCCAACACTGACAAGGAACGTCTTGACCGTGTCCACTTTTCCCTGTCAGTTTCTGGAAGCAAGCTTTTCTTTGTTCACAGACGGGAGGCAATCCATGCTAGCCGCAATCTCTACTGCAATGCGGAGTTCCAGTATAAGCCAGTCATCTTTGATTTTCAATGGCATCACATTGTTGTAGTTGCTGATGGCTGCGCTGCCAAGTTGTTTATTGATGGAGTTCATCAACCATCAGTGGTGGTAACACCTGATTGGACCCTTCACAAGTCAAAATTGAGAAACAGGTTGACTGTTGGTGCTCGTTACCTGGCTAAGGAAGGAGTTTACAGCGAGTACTTCACAGGATATCTTTCTGGACTTGCAGTCAAACCCAACACCACTTTGGATGAACAGGTTTGTTGTATATGTTACAGGTCAAAATTAAATTCAGGTTAAAAGTTTTTAACCTAGGTTGATTGTCTCCTTAAGCCCTAGTTATTGATGAATTAGGGCTTTGGTATTTTCCTCAAATCAACAGCCAAATAATATTTGGTTTTCGATTGTGATGAGTATGAACATACTCATGATACAGTCAAGTGACTCCTTGTGTGACCTCCTCTCGTAAGCAGCCACCTATATCCAAAACACCCAATTTTTTTCAGGCAAAGCCCTATAATTAGAACCTCTCATAAGTGTCTGCAACCACTCTTTGGCCTGACAGTTTTAAAGTTTTCCACTGTTTTTAACCTCTTGTAAGCAACCGTTTGTTACATGGGTTTTGGATGGTGTGGTCTCTGTTCGTTGTATGTACTATGCCACGCAGAGACTTACGTGTACAAGGAAGGTTCATGGAACTGCACATATACGTAACTTAGAAACTCCAAGTAATAAGTTCTTTGCCAAATAGTAGATGGTTCTGGACCTTTTTTTGAAAAGACCCCCCTTTGGTACAATTCTCATATAAGTAACCACCTCCTGTAAGCAGCGTGCAAAGAAAGTAGTGTCTGATAGTCCAGGGCCAGTGGATTTTGCTATTGAGCTAGATAATTCTGTTTTTAACTTGCTCGACGGGCAGGTGATGTTTTTTGAGGAATTCAATTAACAGAAGAACTGTGAAATCAATTCTGCTCATCAAAAAGCTTTTGGAGCTAGTTGAACTGACATCTGGGCTAGTAAATGCTAGCTTCAGCTTGCCCGAATGGCAAGCTGTAAAAATGATTTTCTTTGCACCCTGTGTAAGCAACCCAAGTAATGACCAATCATTAATGTGCCATCATCATATCATTTCCCTAGTCTGTGCTCTCTTTGACCACAGCTTTTGACAAATCAGCATGCAAAAAGTCGCTCTGTTTTTGAACCGAGCATTTTTTTTTATCTGCCTCAGATTCTGCATTGTGTGGTTGGATGCAAAGAGCATGTAAAAGTTGACGGTCCAGTACCAGGAAAGTTCTCTGCAGAAACCATTGATTTTGCAACCATCAGAATCTCTGGCATGGGAGCGCCAGATGACTTTGTTAAGGCATTGCAGCATATCGTGTACATTAACGAGCGCTTGGTACCCACACCTGGAAAAAGATCTGTGATGATCATGGCCACGTTCAATGCGACTCCCCTTCAGACGGTCAATGTTGACATCAATGTTGCAGGTAACACTAGGCCAGTGATAGTAGTACAAGGCCTGGATGCTGACATTGGCTTAAACTGGATGAAGAGGAATGTCTTGCGAGAAAAGGGGCAGCGGATCTTTGAAACCCTAGAAATTACTTATGAGGGCTGCGAGAAGGAAGAGGATTCACCTGTGGACAAAGCGCGACTTTTGGATATGGCAATTGTGAGAGTTGACCCTCCGTTTAAGAAGGAAGAAAGCTTTAACTTTCCTCACGGCATCAAAGGTTTGAAGGAAAAGGGATTGAGTGTTAGTTTCAACAAACAAGAGCTGGTTATCAGAGGCATTGCCCACTTCTCGGAGTATGAAGATGTTCTTCGGCAGATGGTTTACATTAATCTGGATCCAGCTTCTAACTTGCACCGGGAATTCACTGTGAGTATTTCCTTTCTTCGTTTTCTCTCCTACTTTCAGATTCAATGTTGAATAATATTATTATTGAGTCTGCAGGTAAAACCGATAATGTACATGTAACAACATTTGTATAAAACATCTAACCTGAGTCATAACCCACAGGTCTGTAGACAAAATTCTTTGATGTGGTAGACAGAGAGGTATTTACCTAAATTTTCTTGAAATAGAATATTTGTGCAGCCTTGCAGTGAAAGTAAACACGCTCTCACTTCCTTGAGCAATTTATGACTACGTGATGTGTAGAATTTTCAGCCTTTCAAGTGAACCTTCTTTGGCAGTTCTTAGGGGTTTGGATCATCACCCACACCAAGCCCATTTTCTCCAGTACCTCTCTCTATCTGGCAGGGGTATTTTGCAGAATGCAAACAGCTGCCAAATGCTGAATGACTCTGAAGTTTAGTGGTAAGAGTTAGGAAACAGAGTTAATCAAGTTTCAGATCCGTTTTCCCAGAGTCATTGGGCATTCGGTGGCCATTTGGCATCCTACATAATACCCCTCCTGACCTCAACCTAGAGAATTGACAAACTAGAGTTTTTATCTCAAGAATGACAAAAAGATGTGGCTTGGATTGTTTTCTTGCCATTTTCAAGTCTGGGTTATTCAGAATTCAAATATTAATTTGACCTTTGTTCCTCCACAGGTGATGGTCTCAACATTGAAAGGCAAATGTGTGAGTGACAAGGAACAACTTAACCTCAACACCATCTACTCAAACAGAGGGGTAGAGAAATATGATGTCAAGTATGCCAAGAGCAACCTAAAGGAAGAGGAGATGGCTGGAGTTGTGTCAATGGAGGGTGGTTTTGCTGGAGTCACATCAAACAGCATCTCTGCTGGAATTATGGCTTTGATCATTGTTTGCAGTCTGTCTATTTTCATCCTTCTTGTGGTGATTGGCATCTATAAGTACAGACAGTAAGTTCGTGTTTTTCTAGATTTTTAAGAACATACTGTACTGTGAAAAATACATGAATGATCACAAAGACTCCACAACAACTGTTACAGCATCTATAGTTTTTATCCTTGATGTACTGAAGGCAAAGAACAGCTCTATTATTTGACATACTGTATAAGCTATGGTATTGCAGAAAATCATATCTTGGTAGCTTTTATTCAAAAAATTATTTAAAGAGCTTAATCATGGTTTCATCATCATTGTTTTTAAGCTTGAAGTTAATCTCTTCCATTCTTTATAGTTTACCATGAACTTTATAATATAATACTTTGTGCTTAACCAAAGGAATATTTTTTTTAAGTTTCATTTAAATTAAAGAGCTTGAAAAAGGTCTGTTTGGAAGTCATGGGTTTTACATTTCCTTTTTGCAAGTAACTTTTAACCGTCAAAGCCCTAAGAGTGATCAGCATCAAATTTCTCCTCGTAATATCAATGCTTTGTAAAACAGAGTGGTCATGAGTATTACAGACATGATCACACAAGATTCATTTGCTTGACATTTTATCAACGTCTCCCCACTACTTCTGTAGGAAAGGAATAGGGGCAACAAAGGAAAATTCAAATTTTGATTTGAGGGTTAAAGGGTTAAAGCTCACTTGCCCAATGAGCAAGGCTCTCAGCAGGTCATGTTCTAATAAGACATGCAAGAAGTGGACAAGTCACTTTTAAGTCCTTTAAGTTACCAGTAAACTTCACCTTGGGAATTGCACTGCACTGCACAGTCAGAATCAAATGTTATGACATCCATTGATGAAAAGGCTACTTTTATGTTTTATCTATTGTGCTAAATGTTCTGTCTTACTCTTGTAGAAAACCTGAAACTGTGAAAGTTGCTGCACCAGGCGACGACAAAGAAGAGATGTACTGGGACGACACTGGTCTCAGTGGTGTGCGTATTACGCTTAATCCCATGCAGAAATTTCAGGAGCTTGATCTGAATGAAGACGGTGCGAACACAGACAAGTCTGACACAGAAGACGAGGAGGGCGGGGCCGCCAAGGGCTTGCTCGAGTGGGATAATTCTGATATGTAAACAGGATCAATTAAAGTTTCTGGGTAACTGACCAACCCCCTCCCCCACTCAGTCACAATTTTGCCCAAAGTGAGAAGGAAGTGTTAATGTTGACTTAGGGGAGGGGTAGGTGGTTAGTCATCCACAAACCTCAGTTGATCCTGTAAACATCTGTACTGTGCCTCTGGTAGTTCTTTAATGCTACATTACATGTGCGTCCAATGTAGCAACTTTTTTTGCAGTTATGGTACTAAAGTTATTTCGTTGGATTTAAAATTTTGGTTGAGTGAACATCATACAAACTGCAAAGGGAAGCTATTTCTTCTAGACATATTGGATTTATACATCTAACCATTCTTCAATCAACTTTATAGTACAACTTTTTTTTACCATTTTTGGTTTGCCTTTACCTTTTTTTACACTAGGGCAATTTTTTGTCCACTATATATGCTTTAGTGTGTCAGTTTTTTGTAGAGTTTTTTTTTAGTTGAAATTATTTGTACGAGGGGTAAGGATTTATAATACAATATGGATTTAGGGATGATGTATAGTTGAAAACTGGTGATTTTTCTAATGTTGTTTTTTGTTTTGATGAATTTTGTTAATCTTTATCTAAATGTTGACATGAAACAAATGAAAAAGCCAAAAAAAAAAACGGTATTAAATAAACATAGTAACCAATTGCAAGTGTGAAGGAAGCCATAAACATCGTAAAAATAATATTGTGAAAGCTGTAGTTACTAATCCGATTTGTAGACTGGAAATAATCCTGTGTTTGGAGTTCGTTCTACCTCTGGAATTCCAGGAAATTTGTTGGAATTTTAAACCTTTTTTCCAGGGTCGTGAAAAATTTGGGGAATTTCAAAATTTTGTTGGATGGATGTCGTAAAAGATGCACGTGAGAGAAAGAGAAGCTGTTAGTTTTTTAATGTTCGGAATTAACGGCGTGTGAAAAGCGTTTTTTGAAAAGTTAAACAGTTCAGATTCTGGCTCTTGGAGTTTTCATGTTTCACACCGAAAAACCTTTTCGGAAAATTCCTGGAAGTTAATTCTCTGTCTTAGTAGTACGAACCCTGTAAGGATACTATCTGGTACGGCTTTACCAGCAGGTATACATACACACGTTATTCCGGGTAATAAGAAAATTACTTAATTTGTCAGTTATTTTTTGACCCTTTTTAACATTATATTTTATTGTCACCAAGTTAATTCCTCATTTAGCCTGGCAAGTCAAAGGTTGTCGTTGAGAAAATAGTTGTTGGCTCGCTGAACATTTTAAGGTCTTGTTTATCTGTTACCTGGACAGTTTAACTGGACAATTTTGTAGTGGAATCTTTAGACTATGTTAAGTTACTCACTATTTCTGAAGAATGTTTGGTAGTTTAATTAAATATGTTACCCGAAATGTATATAGATTATGTATGTGATTTACATGTGAACTTGCGAACCGTTGTTTACCATCCTTTTTTCTCTAACCTTTTTGGAGAAAAGACTCGGCAGTCTTTTAGAGAAGACTTGAGGGTTGCAAGACAATTGTGAATTGCTAAGTGTATTGTCTTCTGCCAATTATCTGCTTATGAAAAACCAGAAAAATAGAATGCAAAACAATTGTGAGTTATGCTGTCATTAAACTGTCTGTATTATTCCAAAATCTTTGTGATTTTTATGCTCTTTTAAAACCCTTTTAGTCCTAATAATGACCAATATCAATTTTCCCCGAACATTTTCAACACATGATCAAGAAAAAGGGTTATGAGAATTCTTAAAATGATCACCAAAGGGAAAATGGTTTGATCTATTGTCAAATTCTCTCACCGAAATCTTTAACAAAATGTGTGTAGATCAGTTTGTAGAATTTTTATCTGGATAGAAGAAAATGATCCTTTAATTTGCTGTTGGCCGAGTGCTCCACGGCAGCGCCCTTCCCGCCAAGAAACAGGCGACTGCTGTGAGGTGTTGTCATAACTAAACATCCCCCAGCCTATGATCCTTGTAAAGTGCAGGGCCGAGTTGCTCAAAGCTGGGTTAAGATAACCCAGGGTTAGTGCGAGATTTGAATTCAGATTTGATAGCTTAAAAAGCATTTCAGTTTTAATTCTTTTTGTTTACAAGTTGATGATTGGAAGCNGTCCTAATAATGACCAATATCAATTTTCCCCGAACATTTTCAACACATGATCAAGAAAAAGGGTTATGAGAATTCTTAAAATGATCACCAAAGGGAAAATGGTTTGATCTATTGTCAAATTCTCTCACCGAAATCTTTAACAAAATGTGTGTAGATCAGTTTGTAGAATTTTTATCTGGATAGGAGAAAATGATCCTTTAACTTGCTGTTGGCCCAGTGCTCCACGGTAGCGCCCTTCCCGCCAAAAAACAGGCGACTGCTGTGAGGTGTTGTCATAACTAAACATCCCCCAGCCTATGATCCTTGTAAAGTGCAGGGCCGAGTTGCTCAAAGCTGGGTTAAGATAACCCAGGGTTAGTGCAAGATTTGAATTCAGATTTGATAGCTTAAAAAGCATTTCAGTTTTAATTCTTTTTGTTTACAAGTTGATGATTGGAAGCTCTAAAAATAGCACAGAAAATTGTCCGAGAAAATGCTTTTGAACACAAGAAAAAGAAACCCGGATTAAATTTAACCCCGGGTTAAGCGCTATTCGGCCTTCGAGTAACTGGGCCCGGAGTTTTTCACTTCAATCTGCTCTGCTACACGTATTACTCATGGGAAACTCCAGGGATCGCTGTTAATAGCGATATTAAGAGTGACGTTTACGGCAAACGGAAAACGTCAGACAAGTTGAGAAGTTCTCAAAATACAAAATAAGGAGATAAAAACAGCTCAAAACAATTCTCATGGATAAAACTGGGGGCGTGAATCTACTAATCATAGGCGTACAGGCAGGGGGTGCGAGGGGAGCTGCAGCCCCCCCACATTTTGAGCAACTCAGATTTTTTGGGCAGCAAGAGAAAATTTGGGCAAAGCCAGCTTTTAAAGACGTTTTCATGTTTTTTTATTAGTATTTTGAAGAGATAAATATTTTCTATTTTAACCTGAAGTCGGCGTAATAGCCAAGCACGTGATGAGTTTCTGTTTATAAGGGAAGGGTATCATATGCTGGTTATTTTTTTTTATCGTTGGGCACTGTACTGCAATGGGCTATTTCCAATCGTGAATTGAATTAGAATAAACTTCCGCCTAACTTTCTAGAATCATCTCCGCTCGTAGAACAGTGTATGGCAGATAGCATCAGCGATTGATCTGAAAGTGAAGAGGTGGCTGACTAATTCTCACTTTGAATTACGACAAGAATCTTAATTTTTTTAAAAAAATATATCAAGTGGTTCAAATTATTCACTAATTTGTTAAAGTAGACCGAAATGTTTACAAAACCGCTAACAAGAGCGCCATGATACATACTAATGAAATCCTTCTTTGTTGCAATTGACCAGAATTATCTCTAACATAATTCACACACATTTTTAAAAAGATTGAAGCTACTATGAGGTGAAATTGCATGTCAAAAGGGCTTCGTTTTCTACACATAACGGCTAAACATCAAGATTTTCCTTTTTTTACTGTATTTCTAACTATAAAAACTTTATCTCAAAATATCCCGATAACGCTCTTACAGATTCCGTTTTAACTTCAAGAACATGTAGGCGACCATTGGAGGAAAAAGCTCCCAAGAACGATTTCATAGTGAGAAATAATGCTGCAAGTATAACAGGTAATGGTGTCATTTCGTTGTTATGACAACTCTGATGTCATGGCAACCCTGATTATGACAAATTTTCATCTTTATCTAATGCAACTGTGGTGGCAATTTTTCCAAATGTTTGTTAGGTATTGACCCTGAAAAACTGTATCGAGGCACTTTCATATGCCAGTACGGCCTATGTTGTTGCATCATATGGGCCTCGTTTCTTTTCGACTGTTTTGTAATAATTTGGGCAACTTGCAAGAATTTTTTAGGCAAATGGTTTACCGCCCCCCCCCGCCCCCTGGCCGAAAATTGCCAGTACGCCTATGCTACTGATTTCCGTGCAGTTATAATGAACAAGTAAAGGATAAACTTGTTCACGTGTAGCCTGCGAACCGCAGACGAATTTCCGGTCGTCGCTTCTCTCACTCCGAAAAATATTTTTCGGAGGGAGAGAAGCGACGACCGGAAATGCGTCTGCTGTTCGCAGGCTAGTTCACGTGGTATTTGGCGGACAAATGCCGTAAACGTGACTCAAATCTCTTTGATACTTTTTTCTCGAAATTCGACGGCCAAACAGCCCCTACTTGGCGAAAATTCCTTGCTGCTCTACTAGACACAAGCCAGTTCCAGATCCTTCGACTTCTTGCTTTCGCCTCAGAAAGCATAAAAAATTTCCCGCTCACGCTTTGCGCTGGAGAAAAATTTTGAGCTCGACTTACGGGCACGTCTACCACGTCTCTTGCCGTATCAACCATCCAGGAGCCGAGATTTTGTTGACCAAATTTTTGACTGACACCTTATATTGTCTGGAATTTGCTTGCCATAGCCCTTCATCAGGGCGAACCAGAGGATTGTTGGTAGTGCGTTTTATTTTTCGAAAGGTAGAGCAACGCCACTGGCGGGAACATGGTATCCAGGGTAAAAACTGGAGAAATTAGTTGAAGGAGTTGAATGATAAGCGCCCATTAATTCCGCGTTAAAATCACCGACCAGAGATTCCTTGTAAGGTCAAAAATATGAATTTGTATGGTAAGATTTACGGTCTGTTTTAGGAAACAAGAACAGGCGTTACTCTTCAACAGAAACTTCTATTCGTGCTCTTTGTTTGCTGATTTAGCAAGTTATGGTCAGTTATTGCTTCCTAGGTTCCAAATAAGCGGCTTAAGCCTGAAGAAAAAGGACAAATTACATATTAAGGAAAACACCACAATAGGGTAAGAAGTTTGAATTGAGAGTTAACGAGCATTCCTGTTTCCTCGAACATATTTTAATTTTGCAAACAATCTTTTATCTTTTCGACCTTGACCCTTTGCCGTTTTGCCTGCCTTGCATCCAGTTTTGTTTTGCGCCGGCAACATGAAGCCTTAGCTTGGGTTGCCTGTGGTCAGAAGCCTTTAGATAGATAGATAGATAGATAGATAGATAGATAGAACTTTCAGTTTAAACACGGTTAAAATTCCTTCAGCATGTACAAAAAATCTAAGATCTATTATACCTAACTAAACTAACTCTGATTAAAAATATATTCATAAAATTTTAACTACCTAGCTATTTACAAATAAAAGCTGCTTTTCAAGGATGCCGTGTAAAACTGTATTAATGTATGATCTCATTCAAAACTGTTGCGACACAGTTTGCGTTTAAAATCATGTAAAGAATCTGCAGATCTTAAATCATGGGATAGGCTGTTCCACAGCTTAGCTCCGCTATAGGAGAAACTTTTCTTTAAATAATTGGTACGGGGCAGAGGAAGGACTAATTTTTTTTCAGTATTCCTCAATCGATAAGAAGTTAATTCGTTACGAGATACAAATTTAGATGTTAGATAGTCGGGAGTCATCCCATGTACGGTTTTATACATCATAATAGCCGTCGATACTTGTCTTTGGTGTTTAAGCTTACGCCAACCCAGTGCCAGGAACAAATCGTCCACATTACAATCAGAATTAGCGGACATTAGAATACGGGCTGCACGATTTTGGAGCCTCTGCAGCTTATCAGAAAGACCAATGCCGCAGTTGCTCCATACGACATTATCACCTTCGTAATGCCCGTCTCGTCAATTTTCGGTTTTGGATCATTTTGCAATTTTCACTAAAAAATCCTTTGTGTATGATTTGATTGTCTTACTCCCAAAAGCCCTTCCTTTTTCATTCTTGTTCCCAGTTCCCTTCACTAGCCCCCGCCACCTATAAGGTTGCGTGGAACTGGGTATTAGTTCCGGGCAATATGGCAGCTTGCTGACGAAAACGGAAGAAAAAAGTTTACCGGCATGATTCCTCTTACCTTAATCAACTTAAGACGAAGGATGTTGTACATGAAACATAAATTCTACAGGCTTGATAACGTATGGCGGATTATAATTATCGCTCTGCTTCTAATGTTTTTGTGGATTTGGGGTAAGATTGATGGAAATAAGCTTATTGAACTTTAGCCTTGGCTTGTTTTAATGAAACAGTGATTATAAGCACTGTTAAAACGTCATCCTCGATGTAAGACCCTGTTAAACTCACGGTTGACGTAAAACAAAGAAAACAAAGAAGTCATCACAACAGAACCTAGGAAAACAAAAGGTGCGAAACAAAGAAAAAGTTCACAGGTTTTTACACCGAGGAAAACCCATTAAAACTAGGTATTTTCAATTGAGAAGAAAAGTAGCTATGTTTTATACTTGTGGAAACATATGGCTTAAGTAAATAATAAACCTCTTTGGCTTGCATAGATGTTATGTTTTCTCAATACAGGTCCTGTGATTTATAATACTCTACAGTGTTTAGGGAAGTGTTTTTTTCTAATTTCGTCTTATTTACGTGCATATCTACGCATGAATAGACATTGGGTCAAATTTCCCTGGGACCTTTATTGGGAAAACAAAACATACAAGCTAAAGGTTTAATTAATACATCAATCTCACCTTTTGTCCACAGTGTGGAATTCATCCCGGATGGAGAGAAGAGCACCTTATGTGATTCCTAAATCAATACAACAGCATTTAACACATTATTGCAACTTTCCAGTGCGGACATCAGGTGCAGAGGGATCGTTAAGCTTAGAAGACCTGGAGCATTCGAGGCGTTTTAGATTAGAAATGGTCCATGTGCTAATTCGCCATGGAGATAGGTCTCCAGCCATGGATATAGCCAACATGGATAACAAAAATTATGATTACGATTGTACATTTAAGACAGCAGATCGTGATCACAAACAAATGTTTGAAGAGTTCAAGCAGACATCGAGGTATTTTAAACTTCGTGAGTTTGTCAAGGGTGTGAGAACTAGTCAATCTCTCGTCCCATCAGGGAAAAAATGTGAAATTGGACAGCTGACTCAGAGGGGTTTTCTTCAACACTTTGAAATTGGAAAACACATGCGAGAAGTATATCATGACTTGTTAGGAGATGATATTACAGGTGGCAATCTTCTTTTGCGGTCAACGCAAAGGACAAGATGCATTCAAAGTGCTGCAGCTTTCCTTTTTGGACTTTTAACAAAAGACACTATAATGAAAGGTAACTGGCATAAAATAATACCTCTGAAAATACAAAATCTGGAGTCCGCTCACTCTCTGTTTTGTTCCCCATCCCCATATCAAAACCTCCCTTGCCGTCCCGAGGTCTTATTATTCTGTGCGTTACGTGTCAGATATTTTGCTGAAATGCCTTGACTGAGAAGGCTTGGAAAGACACTATCATGCAGGTAGCCCAACTCTTGCTTTCGGGCAACTAGAAAATCTTTGTTTTTTCATACAAATCATATGCTGGGTACCCTATATTTTTCAGATTCAGAGCACTGGGTTCCCTTAATAATGACAAAGTTAGTTGTTGATGGTGATGAAAAATGCACATAAATGCCACCAGAAACAACCTGTTCTATGAACAGCAACTGTGAAATAAAATTGGAAAAAAAAAACATTTTTACATTTTGAGGAAATGTGGGGCTAAATTCAAAACTGAAACATGGAAGAGCTTAAGAGATTATTTCTTACCCTCAAAAGCTGCAATCAAGGTGGGGGTGGGGATGGCAAGGGAGGCCTCTTCCATTTTCTATCCCTCACCCCACCCCCCAGTGTCCAGAGTGTTGGCTTACAGGCATATCATACACACAGATCCACACTGGTTTCTGCTGTTTTATGCAAATCGGTCAGAGTTTTCAAAATAAATAAATTTTTAATATAAAAAAAAACTCTATAAGTTGAAATCAAGAGATGAAATAATCCACCAGTTTGCAAAGCTTTATCCAAGGAGAATGTAGGCTTGATTTCCGCCGTCTCCTGGGTCCAGTCTTTGATCCTCTAAGAAGAATGGAATTGGCCAATATCCTGTCTGAGTGATTCAGAAACCCCAGAAATTTCCTGGGGGAGCATGCCCCCGACCCCCCTAGAACCTTGTGCTTTTGGCGCTTGTTCAGGAAATCTGTCAAATTTTTCCCAGATCCGCACCTGCATTAGTAAATGATTGCTTTAAATATACAGTGTAGTGATTATAACCAACCTCCCTTGTATTAAGCTAGTTTTTCCTTCCATAAAGGTCAAAATTCTAAGATTTGACCATTGACAGTTCTGGTTTCTTTGTGATATAGAGGGAATAGCCATTAACCTGACTTCAGATATTTGGCTGCGAGAGGATGACCATGGTGTACCCTATAAGTGTCCGTCATTTTACCAACGTTGGGCAGAATATAAACAGAGCCAAGAATATATCACAGGGGCAGCAGAAATGGAGCCATTCATGCAGAAGTACTCTCAAATACTAGGAACTTCAAGATCATCTATAACAACTGTGATATTGTACGTAAATTGGGTGTCTTTGTGTTGTTCATAGGAACACCTTTGCCCTTTTCCATCGTCACGAATGTCACTGCCAAGATACTCTTCAACATTTTATTATAAGTAGCAGAATCTCTCCTAAAATGACAAATTCCCTTAACTTGCTCCTTTTTGTAAAAAAATATTTAAAACAGGAATACATCCCTCATTATTGAATAAAACCAAGTGTGAACATTGTTCAAAATTTAGTGTCATGATAATACAGTACCATTATACTAGAAACACAGGTGAATGGAACTTTCTACTAACTTATTTTTTTTACTTTCCCTTCGGTTGAATTTTCTATGAATTTAAGCCAATCAGTTTACCTCAAACATTTTTTTTGTTTCCTTTGGGAGTTAGAATTAGTGGGGTCTACTATTAGTTTTGTAATGTTATTTATTTGCAAGATCAGGTAAAAGTGAAATAAATATTAGAGGGATTAAAATTCATGTTTACGCCAAACGTTAAATGTGAGATTCAAGTTGAGGATTTCCAAGAATAGAAAATAAGCAGATAAAAACTGTCCCGAACAATTCTTATAAAACTGGTGTGAAACTACTTATTTTTTAGTTGAAGTAATAAACAGTTAACGACAATTGAGGGAAAAACTTGGTCACGTGGTACAAATTCACGTTTTCCATTTGGTGTAAACTTGAATCTTAATCTCTCTAGTATAAATCAAGATTTCCTTAATTGTATGTTAACTAACACCAAAACAATAGTTACTTTTTTAAATAGTAACTATTGTTTTAGTTAGTAAATTAATTATTAAACTAATTTAATTTTAATTTATTTTTATTACATATTTTTTGCATATTTAATTTAATAATAATAATAATATTATTCATTCCTCCAGCCTGACTGATGCAATTTTAACTCGATACTGCTACAAACATCCCCTCCCCTGTGGACCCGGGGGCTGTGTGACACAGGAGATGGCAGCCGACGGAATCAACTTTGCAAGCTGGGCATTTGCTGAGAATTTCACTGCAATAGCTGATGTTGCCACCCACCCCATGTTGATACAGATGGCAAAGAGGATGATTGACAAGTCTCGTGATAAAACCAAACTCAAGTTTATACTTTATAGTGCCCACGACAGTACTGTGACACCACTGCTACTAAATCTGGGTGTTCATGATCGGAATAAGTGGACTCCTTATGCTACCAGAGTGGTTATTGAACTCTGGAGAGACACAACATCATCACAAGATTCTATAGAACCCTTGTACTTTAGAGTTTTGGTTAATGGCAAAGCTGTCACTAGTAAGATGAAGTTCTGTGGAGAAGCTTTGTTTAAGGGTGAACTTTGTCCTGTTAGGGAACTGATTAATTGGCTCTCGGCAGGTAAAGGGGCAAAAGGAATGGATGATAATTATAAGTCACTTTGTAATACATGAAAAGGAGTCTTCTAGGTGACTTCACTGCAGGAAAATCAGCCACAAATCATGAATCTTCTGTCATAAAATGAAAAGGTAAAACGTTTGTGAGGTTTACACCTTTCTATGGCACTGACAACCATGACGTTCTTATTAGGGGATATACAGCTTCAACTACCTCGTGGCTTTGCAGCACAGGCCTTAGTTCTTAAAATGCAACAATATTATTTGAACTAGCTGTAGTGAGTATTTTCATTAGAGTCCACCCTCTCTTTATAAGCAAAAGCTGTTCCAGGTGGATGCCTGCCAAACCTAAAATGGATGAAGAGATGCATGGATGAGTTGGTTGCCCCTCCTTTTCCGTCATTTTCTTTGACTCTAAGGCTGACACCTCAGTGTTAGTGCTGCAAACTTAGAAATTTGGTATTTATTATCTTGAAATAAAACCTTTCAAGTGCCACAGTCAAGTGTATTTTATATTAATTACTTACATAGATGCATTTTTCACTTCTTCCTATTAACTTATAAGCAACCTTTGACTTTCATCAATACAAGTGGTACAGACAGACAGGAATTATCATTACCTTGTGCAAAAAATTTTTAGGCAGGAACTTATTTTATGGTTGCTAAAATACTTTCCTTACCAGTTTTAGTGTTTTGTTGTATAATCGTTTATTCTATCATGGTTCAAAGTGAAGTGGGCACTTTGACCAGCTGCTTAAATTAAAATCTCATTTCCCTAGTTTACTTATTAGCAACCGAGTCTTCATCCTCGGAGACCCAGGGGCAGTCAGTTGGGCCGGGTTAAAAGGCACGACGCAAGGTTTGAAAACTTTAGTCGCGCCTTTTCTCCCGGCCCGACCGACCGCCCCTGGGTCTCCGAGGATGCCGAGTCTTTGAATGCTTTATTCAAAGACAAACAAACAAACCAGACAAGAAGCAGAATTAAAATAGTCAGCCTTTAAGTGAGACAGGACAAGGAAAATAGTAAGAGAAGCACATCCAGCTTTATATGATGTTCTTTTTTTATTACCAATACTAATTTGGATAATAAATTAATAAACCCGCAAGAAGGGGCCCGCAAATTTACGTCTATTCTACAAACAAGATAATTATACTCTCATTTTCCAATGGGATCTAAACCGTTTAATGCACAGCATCAGTTTTGACATTTAAGAAAAATAAAAAACAGCCATTACTAGAACAATGTAATCCAATACAAAATGTCTATGTAATTACATTAAAGTCAAACCCCTTGAAGTGACCCCCCCAAAATTCCAAGATTTAACCCTTAAAGCCCTAATATCAAAATTCAAATTCCCATTTGCTGTCCCTATATGTTTCCTATAAAAGTAGTAACAAGAAGTTGTTGCAGTATAAACTCATTGTATCTTGTGTGATCATCGCCTTAATTCTCACCACCAATCTATTATAAAAAGCATTGATATCACAAGGAGAATTTTGATACTGATCACTATTTGGGCTTAAAGGGTTAATGGTCATTTGCAGGAGGTGGTGCTTTGTGAGAATCAAACCACATGAGCTCTCTTTGAAGAGGACTTCAGAACGTTTTCGCCTTTGGAAAAAAATTTCTAAACGTTGGTACACTTAAAGGGACAAGTTGCAGTAATATGTGAAACCCATGTGTATTGGAGAATTTGTGTGAAAATCTTTGTCTCTGCAGCAAGTTACACAAATTCAGTCTGATTTGATTTTTCGCGACTTGCTGCTGTGACAAAATTCTGTTGCAGAGACAGATTTGCACAAAAATTCTCTAGTACACACGAAGTGATTTGTCACTGCAACATGTCGCCCTAACATTTTGCTGCAAGCAGTCACGTCACTTGTGCACAAGGGGTGATCTGTTGCCACAACGTTTTGCTGTAACTTGTCACCTGGTGTGTACCAACCTCTTACAAGAGGTTAAAAGCAATGGAAATTCCAAAACTGTAACTCCAAAAGTAGTTGCGGTCGCCAACAGGAGATGGTCATTTACAAGAGTTCCCAAAAACATTTTGGCATTTTGGATAGGTGATTGCTTATGGGGGGTCGTCACACATGGAGGTTTGACTTTTTCATGTTTGAAGACATTTAAGTTTAGGTTCCTCTGCTGTACCCCTTTTTGTAATATCCTGTCTCTATTCTCTTAACTGTTCTCTTCGCCCCGGAAAAAATCCATGGATAGGTCTTCTGCATTTTAGTTTTTTCATGTGACCAATTAACATAAACACTTGACAATATGGCTTTAAGTATATAACTTTTGAAAATGAAATGAGCAAGTTTCAATATACATTCATTATGTTAGAAATGAGTGGGAATCTGGGTATTATTTGCATCCACAAAATTTCTTGCGATTGCTTAAAGATACAGAGTGCAGGTAAACGAACATGGCAGACTACAAATGGCTTTGCTCCACACTAGAATGAAAGTTTCAGAAATGTACCAAACCTTTACTATTACAGAATTCCCCAAAATCCTTAAACACCCGGCATATCGTCTTCAATCAAACTACCTTGAGAGTCTTTTCCAGGTGGTTCATTGCTGTCCACTTCATTTTTGTCGTCCTTCCAAATGATTCCTTGAGCCTTTGCACTCACATAATCATGCCAGATCACCACTCATTTAGGACATGGTAAATTGACAAGCTATTGACAAATAAATGTTCTTATCATGCAGGTCCCAGTAGTTCAAACATTACATAGTGCTATCCATCAGATAAATCACTATCCAGTAGATAAGTATTAGGGAAGCCAATTATTGCATTATCCGCAGGTAGAGATTTATCCAGTGTATGGTGCTATCCACCTCGAACAACTGGGGGCCTGATTTTTTTACTATGTCTTGGTCCATGTTGTTTCCTTTAAGTGAGCCCAACTATTTAAGCTCCCATGCAGAAAGAAGAAAAAGAAGTTAATAAACCAGGCCCCGGTTGTTCAAATGGTGGATAGTGCTATCCACTGGATAAATCACTATCCAACGGATAAGCATCAGGGAAAGCAAATTATTGTCATTATTATACATTGTAGTCACCATCTGTCTTCTCATTGGCTAAAAACCTACAGTTAATTCTGGGAAACAGCGCAACCTACAGATTATTCACTAATCTGTACCTACAGATTAGTGAATAATCTGTAGGTTGCGCGCACAATGCATGATTTCCAAGAGCAATGTCAAGTGCACGGACAGCAATGTCCAGTTCGTGGACAGCGAAGTAAGAATGGCTTTTATAATAAAAAAATAAGAATTGCTTGTATAATAAAACAATTATTAGATTCGGTTATTGTGATATCCGGAATAATCAAGGTCTCGGTTAGTGTTATCAGCCGAAGCCGAACACTTACCTCGACCTTGATTATTCCGTATATCACAAAAACCTCATCCAATAATTGTTTATTATTGCATTATCCACTGGATAGTGCTATCCACCTTCAAACAACTGAGCCTAGCAAGATAACCTCTTGGAAATACTCCACATGGGAACCCTGTGCATGCGAGATTGAAAAAAATTTCCCTGACATACGGTTGAATGGAACTCGGCCATCAAGCTGGATCAGAATACACTGAAGACAGCCAAACTGTTGATTTATATTAAATCCAGCCATCTACAGGTTCTGACAAAAGAAATTTTATGTTCAGCCTTGGGCTATTGTTTATATATTTAAGGATCCCTGTGTGAAACCCATAACAATGGCATTGTTTATACAAATAAAATTTAAAAACATACTATGTAAGGGCTAACAAAATAATTATTATTTCTATTCAATTTAACTGCACACAGCATTTATAATATTATTATTGAATGTTCTAGCTGCCAAACTTGCTCCACCATGAAAGGTTGAGTACACAATATTTGCGAGCAACTTGTCCAACCTTGGTTCACTGAGTTATGTGTGGACATATCCATGACCTCAAGCATTCTGTCAACAAAATCTCATTGTACTTCTACTTCTAGGATTGATGTTTTGTGATCTAAATGACAGATCTTCTTCACCAAGACTTCATCTCAGTGTCAAACCTTGCGAGGTTCTTGACTATTCCAAGTAGATTTGCAGATCAGAATGAAGCACCATTCAGCTTTTATTCTAGTTCTACTGATTGTCAACTTCAGCACTCTGAAGTCTCAATTTACAACTACTGCTACTTCATCATTCCCCTTCAGGTTCTTGCGCTGAAGTTTCAATTTACAACTATTGCTACGTCATCATTCCTCTTCAGGTTCTAGTTCTTCTACACTGATGCCACCACTACCATAAGGTGTCCACTGTCAGCTGCACTGTCTAGGAGATCTGGAGAAACTCGTGCCAAGTGCTCCTGGGCAAAATCACACGGTGGGAAGATATGAAGCACATAGCTTGGCTGTGTGGAGAAACAAACAATGGCATGAACAAGAAATATCACTCATAAAAGTACCTCCTTTTTTGTGCAGTTTGGCCCCAGTGATATAAGAAAGTAAAAATAAAAAGTGCATGCATAATAGTAGAGCTTATCCTGGTTTCTCTGCACAAAGGTCACCTTCCCTCTGGATGGGATATTGTAGTGGAAGGTCAGTTTATTGAGATGCCAAGTGACTGGGAAAATATTCCCTATAACAAGGCTTCATTATATCTGGGTTCTTTCAATGTATATTTTACTGTTACTGGGTACAAGAATATTGTTCACTGTACTGATGACTTTGTCATGATTATCTAGTCCCATCCAATACTGCCGCATTCTTAAGGACTCTAAGGATCATCAAACAAACCTTACATACTCTCATGCCATGAAAACGTTTTAAGTCCCAGTAATAAAATGTATTTCACAGACTGCGTTGAGTTGGCAATCAGTGCGATTAGTACGGATCAACACACCATATAATTTTACCTCATCACTTATGAAAATTAGTTCATACAAAAGCTGCTATCAAAATTCATGCACTCAATTTTTTTTTTCATCTCACCCTGATATGGCCCTGTATGAGTAAAAACAGAGCCCATTGCCTATTCATTTTACCTGTCTGACATAAAAAGAAATGAAATATCTATAAGTTTGCATAAACATCTTAGTTTATTACCTGAGTGCTCCCTGGCCTAGCAACATTGATGATCCCGGCAGCCTGTTTCTGCTGCAAGTAGTTTATAAAACCACTCTTCAATGCACGTGTCTGTGCATGAACATCAAGAGGATCTCTACCACATGGCAGTGCCAGCAACAAACAGTGATCCTTGTCAGACTGTTGAAAGAATCAGCACAAAATACTTAGTTAAGTAAATTATGGCATCAAGCTATGTAGTCTGCTTTTTTTTCCCATGAAAACTTACAACTATTGATGCATATTAAGAACCTGTGGCAAAAAAACTAATCCCAATCATCCATGGAAAGGAAGCAACTGAATGTTGTATAATTAACGCTTAAATGAAATGTATAACTGGTCCCAGGGCTCAAAATAATGGCCAGCCAACAGACAATGTCTGGTCAGTAGGGAGATTTGACCTGCCCGAAACTTCACTCGTTGGTCATGTCGACCAGTCACCCATGCACTCTACTCACTATAAATCTTAGATTTTGTCTCTTTGTAAAAATACAATCACATCTACAATAGAAAATTACACAGAGATAAGTTAACTTTTTTTCCCAATATTTTGACCAGTCAGAGACAAGATTTGACTGAGCAAAACTTTCTTTGGTCTTTCATGTCTGGCCACTGTCCGAAAATAATTTTCAGCCCTGGTTCCCTGCAGTCAATAAGGCGTTTTTCCAACTCTATAACAAACTAACACTGCTGCAGCCTGCTGTGTAATAAAAAGACTAAGTGCTGTCCCAAAAAAGAGAATAGACTGTCTAGACAGGTTAGCACCTACCTGCATTCTGCGGATGACCCCCTCCAGCTGAGATGGCTCCAGTCTCATTCTCTGGGCGATCCGGATTGGTGGTGGCACACTTCCTATGCCATTAGCAGGTGCCTGGGGTAATGAAACCTCAGCCAAGTGACCATTACCAGCCAGGTAATGCATCTGGACTGCAGCAGAATCATTCTTTAGCGCTAGCAAGCCTTGCCATACTACTGGATACCGCCTCAGCAGGTCTAAGAGGGTGTCTGTGTTGGACGGTTGTGGGATGGGTGGCGTGCTGTTATACTCTGAGTGTGGAGGAGGAGGAGGGGGTACTGCCGCCTGTGGAGATGCCAAGGCTGGTAGAGGAGCTGAGCCCATGGGAACACTGGGTGAATGAACTGCCAAAGGTGGAGTACCAACGCTTCCTGGAGGAGGACCTGCGACTGCAGGGTTTAGAGTTATACCAACTGGTGGGATCGGACTGAGTGTGGCAGGAGAAGCTCCCACAGGAACACCACGGTTACCGGCCAGGTAATGCATCTGGACTGCAGCAGAATCATTCTTTAGCGCTAGCAAGCCTTGCCATACTACTGGATACCGCCTCAGCAGGTCTAGGAGGGTGTCTGTGTTGGACGGTTGTGGGATGGGTGGCGTGCTGTTATACTCTGAGTGTGGAGGAGGAGGAGGAGGGGGTACTGCCGCCTGTGGAGATGCCATGGCTGGTAGAGGAGCTGAGCCCATGGGAACACTGGGTGAATGAACTGCCAAAGGTGGAGTACCAACGCTTCCTAAAGGAGGACCTGCGACTGCAGGGTTTAGAGTTATACCAACTGGTGGGATCGGACTGAGTGTGGCAGGAGAAGCTCCCACAGGAACACCACGGTTTGCATCATAAACTTGTGACTCATAATGACCAGGTGCTGGAGCAACATCATAAGGAGGTCGGATTACTTGAGTGTTATGCCCATCCGATTGAGGGGGAACCACTCTTGGTAGCACATCCACCTGGGGAGGGAAGGCTTCTCCGGCCTCACGGGGAGGGGGTGGGGGTGGAGGAGGAGGAGGTGATTCACTGTTGGATATGCGTCGTCGTTTTGGTTTCGTAACATCTTTATTCTCCCAGTCTCTTCTTCTCTCGTCTCTGTGTGTTTTATTACGGGGTGAACGACCACCTGCCTCTCGAGGCATTTCTCTATCTTCTTTGGGCAATCGTTCATCGGCAGAATGACGTCTGGGTTTCTCTTTCAGATCAGCTTGATCAAGCCTACTACTCTCAGGTGCAGAGTGGATATCTCTTTTTTCAAGTCTCTGTAAGTCAGCATCAGAATGAGCTCTCTGTTTAATCCCCGATGCTGTCAAGTCACCCCCACCACGAATAGAAGCTTCCTCTAACCTAGCAGCTTTTTCTTCTACCTCCCTTTCTTCTTCCTCTTCACTCAGCGAGAAAATCCGTTTGTGTCGCTTACGCTTCTCCTTCTTCTCCTTCTTTTTACTGATCTTAGTGGGTGGAGGAGGTGATGCAGGAGCCGGCATTTCATCACTGGGTTCTTGAGCTGGAAATTCTTCACTCTTAGTGCCATTGTTTTCCAAATGCTCCTTGTCAACTTCATGCTCCCCATCTTTACTCTTCACTGCAAGCTTAGTATCTGCAACTCTTTCTTTCTTCTTCTTATGATCAAAAACTCTCTTTTCATTGGCATCCTCTCCTGCACTGGGCATCTCTTTCTCCTCCACTCGCTCATCCTCAGGAGAAGGTGAACGAGGTCTTCTCTTCTTCTTCTCTTTCCTCTTAGCACCTTTCTCATCCTGCCCAACGTCACGGCTAGGGGGCTTACCATGAATTGAGGCTCGGTCTTCATCCACACTGTAACGCTCACGATCGTGTTCTTCAGGAAAATCCGGCGGTCGAGGTTCTTTGCGATCACGGGAATCTTCATATGAACCTGAACTGCTCCTGTCATCCCGCCAGCCCTCATGACCCTCAGGAAAATACCTCTCACTGCCACTGTAGCTTGCCTCCTCTCTATGAGTATCACGATCACGCCCACCTCTATCATGTCTGTGCCGACCTTGTTCTTTCTCTCTTTCTCTTTGCCGACTATAGTTATAATCACGAAGCTCTTGATCATAATCATCACCTGACTCATACCCTCCGCCCTCATAAGGCCCTCGGTAACGGGAAGAACCTCTCTGCTGGTAGCCCTCTCTGTTATCGGCGTAGTCATACTCTCCCCTGTGCCACGGACGGTGGTTTGACATGTCACGTCTCATGCTGCCACGACCTCCCCTTCCTCTATCCCAGCGGTTATCATAATACCCACCCCCTCGGCCACGCGACCTTGGGGAGGAAGGTTCATATCTCCGGCTGCTACCATCTGAGGAACCAGTGCGCTGTAATGCATCAAAGAATAGTTGCCGACTGTCACGGCTGACAAATTCAACCTGTGCAAAGAGAGGTAAGGAATGAATGAATGAACTTCACTGAGAATATAATGACAGAAACAGCTGCAAAGTTCTGTTCAATAAACCTTTCAAACTGTTTCAAAATTAAATGTGTAATGTGTATAAAACTCAGTGTTTAAAGTGGCAATCAATCAAAAGCCACTGATTATGCACCATTATGTGAAGAAAGAAGTCCTGAAATGTGACATTCAAAATGTTTTAAATACTCTCCCTGTGAACTTTTTCTCACAGATGTGAGTCATGTGTACATGTGTAGCACATCGTTAGAAATAACAGGGTTCCTGCTCAGAGCTATGCTTGCTTACCCTGACACGCCGTCCAAACATAGTTCTTCCCTTCATCTCTCCCTGTGCAATGCTAGCAGACTCCACGCTATCAAAACTGACCAAGGCTTGTTCCCTGGGGCGATTCACCACAACTCTGGTAACACGTCCGTATCGTCCAAAATGTCGCTCTATCTGCTGCTCACTCAATCCACCCACCCCTCCGACCCAGATGGTGTTGATGGGCGATACTTTGCCAAAACCAACCTGAACATAAAATATAATAATCTTACCAAGACAATACAAGATTTCAGGGACTCTCTATAACCAGAAACCCACAAGAAAACTGGATGTTCACTTTACACAGAGCCATCATTAACTTTTCTTTGATAAGACAAGTTATGGGGTACCAAGAAAGCTGTGTGAACCTGCTGCAATACATGCTCACAGATGCACACATGCCTCAGGTTTACCACACTGCAAGGGGTTATGTATCCAACTCTTTAGGAACAGAAGTGTGAGTTCTTTCACATTCTGCAAGATTAATATCAACACTAGTACTGTAAGAGGTGGCTGGCAGTTTCTCATCCTCGCCAGAGAAGACCAGAATGTCTAACAATGTGTGGATGTCAAAACAAAGTCAGCACATTTCTGTCAGTGAATTTTAGATCCTGAGTTGAGTATTAGAATAACATACCTATCACTCGGAAGTCTGTTACCTCAAATAACCCGGTGCTAGAAAATTGTGGTCTTAAATGCAGATGCATACCTTGACTCTGTTGCGTCCCACAAACTCTCTGTCCATTCTCCTTCGAGCCTGAATAGCACTGCTCAGTTCAACAAACTGGATGAATGCATATGGATTATTACCAGTTTGTTTCTTGATATCAACATCCTGCCATTAAGGAAAGTATGTTATTTCTGAGCCAGAACACAAATAAGCCTTACAAACAGTGTGATCCCAACCATAATACTACAAAGTAGCATGTAAGACAATATTTTTGCAGACAGAACAACACAGTTGTCATTAACAGAACTCAAAAACTCTGACTTTTCACTAACCGCCAAACAATCATTTTCACTGACCTTTAATTAGTATAGGTAATAGCATGATTTGTAGTGAAATTTGGCATAAATACAACAAGTGATATTTCGAAATTGTTATACATAAATTTGAGACAATTTTGAAATATCACGAGTGGTATTTATACCAAATATCATGTGCAAATCATGCTATTATTAATTTTGTTTATGCTACTACCTGCAAAGGCCTTGTAATTTTCAGATGTAGGTATTCAAATTAAGCTGAAATACCACTGCTTTAAGCCAATCAAATTGCAGAAATTTCTCTTGTAGTAGTAGAAAGCAACTTATACTAAAAAACAATCCATGTTTGCCCTTGAATTTCATGTTCTTCATAACCCAATACAAAAAAACCATAATAGGAAACTATTCTGAGTTGAAACTACCTCATGGAAACTTACCACAATCTCTCCATATCGCTCAAAAGCATCCTTAAGATCAGAAAATGTTGTTGTCTTTTCAATATTTCCTACAAAGAGAGTTCTGGTGCAACCTGGATCAAAGTCATCATCGATCATGGATCCTGCATGTGAACGGTGACGATGACGGTGGTCACTGGAATCATATCGATCATCTACAGGAAAAAGCCAAAACACTCTTACCACTGTTATCATCAGGGCTAGATAAAAAAAGCGATTCCAGTTTGTCCTTTGGCAAGCAACTCTTGCATTTTGAATGCCTGGGATCACTTCTTGTTACATGTAGTTTTAGTTAACCTATTAAGCCCCAACATTCACATACAAATTCTCCAAACTGGTCTCTATACATTTTCTATGAAGAATAAGTTGAGAGAATTTGATAAAAGATCAAACCATTTTCCCTCAAGTGATTATTTTATTAATTCTCACAACCTATTCTCTTGGTTGTGTATGGATACTGTTAGGAGAAAATAGAGTTTACGATTTCATATATGGATGACTTGCCTGGCCCCTTGCCCATAAGCAGGGGTTTGGCAACTGGGTTTGACACCCAGGCAAAGAATAAATTATTGAAAAGGCTCTTTCTTGAAATTCTACCATTGCAGAGATAAGTTTTCCAACATTCTGAAGGTGCAGACAATGTCTTATAACTACCAAAAATGATAACTTTTCTGGACAATTTGATCATGATTTGATACCAATATCCACCACACAAATTAGTTCATAATCTTATTGAGACATTCTAGACGGTCTTTTATGGCGTACAGCTCTTTTCACAACGCATTATGGGGCAATTCTTGTTTTAGCATGTAACAAATGAGGAGATTTCAAGCCGAGTGTGATAAAGTCAAAATTTGACGATAAAGTATGTTTTACATTTGAGAAGACTCATCAAGAAGAGGGCACAATTGTGTAATTTACTTAACACAGGTTTTTGATCGTTTCTTGTATTAAAAACAAAAAGGTCTTTGAGAAGTTAAGCAGCCGGGCAAAGTCACGTTCACAGCCAGTGCCTGGCCCTTAATGAAACCCCTGCATAAGGCAAGAAAGCTTACAAAGTTACTTTCTCAGCAAGAAAGTCTACTTGTCCCAGACTAACGGATTGGACAATGGTATAACGGAGTTGTAAAAAAAAAAAAACGTTTGTGTATTCTTATTCTGGAATACACTCAATCAAACACACCCTGAGTTTTCCTTGGATCTACAATAATGACTATCAACTTCTTCCCTAAACTCTTTAATAAAGGTATTGTCTCTTAAAGCTTGAGCTTTTACTAGTAATAATTTGTTCTAACAGATTATGTTCCCCAACCTTGCCAATACTGTAAATCCATTTCAGCGCCAAGGAACATCTTTCCCTGACATACTTGTAGTCCTCGCTCTGCATCTTCAGGTCTGACAAAATTACAACAAAGAAAAAAAATTAAAAACTTCTACAACCTTTCTTGACTCAATGATTAAGAGGTAAAAAAAAAGCTTGATAGCCCCAATTCTAGATCTTTGGCATTGGAAGCTGGATCCTGAAATTTATTCCATGGGTGTATGGATTAAAATAAAGTTGAATTCTCAGCACCTTCTGAAGTGTATGATGGCATATCTGCTAGATCCTTGTCCATTCACGTAAATGCGAGTCACATCCCCATGCTTCTTGAACTCATGATAAAGGCCATCATGAACACTACTATCTACAAATGTAAAGAATAGAAAGCTTCTTTAATTCAAACAAGACAAAGACCAGGTTTAAGGTAACTTCTACCTAATCACACTGTTTCTCGTTATACCTCCTGATCTGATAGAGATATTTCTTAAACAGAGTGCTGAACTTCTGTTTGCCTGAGGAGCATCTGGCACAGAAGCAACCCTGCGGACATTCTCATCCCTGCTGCCTTCCTCACTGCTGCTGCTACCACTGGAGCTAGGTGACTGGCTTCTGCTCTGACTGCTTTCAGTGTCACTCTCACTGCCACTGGAGTGATCTGCAGTGGGTTCTTGATCCCGGTATGCTTCTAAAAAAAGAAAACAATTTACAGTCCAGATCAAATATGACATAGTGGTCTCATGATCATTGATTTAATCAATCATCGGTCAAAGAATATTTAATGTTCACTAATATGGCAATTGGTTCTGGGAAATGTTTAATCACATACCGTGGAATGTTGACAAATAAAATTATCAAAAGTACATATGCAGCATGAAAAGAAAGTCATGTTCCATAGCCCGGGACTAGTAGTAGATAGTGAATTCTGTTCTTAACTTGCCCGACAGGCAAATGAATTTTTTACAAAATTCACATTTACAGAAGAACTGTAATCAATCCTGCTCATCCAAAATTTTTTTCAGGCTAATTAAATTGACTCTCTGGCTACAAGTTAGCTGCAGCTTGCCCCACTGGAAAGCCGTAAAACTGACTTTCTCTGCACCCTGATATGTAGTGAAATGTCTTTTCAATGGACAGTAATGTTGTTTGATTGCCCACTTTCCTTTCCTGGAAACTAGACATGTTTAGTTAGTTAAGAATAACTGAAGCTAAAAAATGGACCTACCCACCCTCTCACCCAAAAAATGGACCTCCTCTCTCCATCCCCAAAATAGTACTGTAACATATAGGTGGCATTGAAATTGGAGGTTTTGAAGAGTTGGGAGGCTACTGGCTGGAGCACACTGTTTTAGGACAGATCTATGAAGCATACAGCACGCCCGTTAGGGTCATGTAACAGCTGCTCGGAAGAGAAGTCACCAATGGTGCCTAAACCTGACCCCAAACAATACTGAAACAATTGAAAGAATGAAATGTCATTGTTTTCTGAGACCAATCAGGAGAGCAGCTCCTACACAACTGGCCAGTTTTGAAGGACGCGAAACAAAATAACTCAACACATACTTGGCTTGTGACTGCTTCTATGAGGTTCTTGTCCATGGCTATAAGGCTGCTGACGTCGATCTCTACTGCTACTGCTAAGAGGTCTTGCCCTGTTAGTACTGCCACCACCACCAGAACTACTGCTTGGCATTCGAGCACTTGTACCTTCTTCATCACTGTAGCCATCTTGATAGTAGGCTTGTGAACGACCACCGTATCTTCCATCTGGTGTATTGCTGTTGGATACAACATATTAACCCAATATTAGTCTTCTCAGACTTGAGATTGTCATACATTTTCCCAATTCCGTCCTAGAAGATGAATTTGTTTTTAGAACAGATGTTCATTGGAAATAGAGTACGAAAGTGTGACGTCATAAAAATGAAATTTCTGAAATTATGGGATTTGTCCGGATATTCTGAAAGAACAATGTCCAAGACGCCTACTTGCCAAAAATGAGCATTTCGGGGCAAATTGTCTCTGAGATCGTAACCCAGTTATGCTTAGAAAACTCCATACAAACCCTTCTAGATTTTTTTGGGTCGACCCAAAAAAAAATTAGGAGGGTTTGCATGGAGTTTTCTGAGTATAACCGGCTAACCTCTCGGAGACAATTTGTCCCAAAATGCTCATTTTTGGCAGGTAGGTATCATAGACATTGTTCTTTCAGAATATCCTGACAAATCCCATAATTTCAGAAATTTCATTTTTATGATGTCATCACTTCAGTTCTCTATTATGATCATGTATGACCATATGATGCATATCCTCTGTGATAAGTGCTGCTGATGGTACTGAAACACACACTGCCAGAAAAGAAGGCTCACTGTAGATGTATTTCTACTTGTCACTTCTCTCTAGCCAAAAAGTTTCTTTTCTGGTGAGAAGTTACTTTTCGGCTGGGAGGGAGTGAGGATTTGAGAAACATCTGCTTTTACAGGCTAAGCTTGCTGTTGAGCAGGGTTTGAATTTAGAAAACAAAAAAACATTAGGGACTGAATTGCTTCTGAGAGTAAACCTCTTCTGGAAACCTTACAAGTAAACTAATAGAAATTGTTTGGGTTCTTTTACCAGCATAAGACAAGTAAATTTTCAACCCTGAAGGATACAAAAGATCTGGCACAAACTGGTTGAGCATATTTTATTTTTCATACAATACTAACCTGGTTTTTTATAGCCCTAGCACATGTGGCTTGCCTAAGAACAACACATCAACTTCATGAAACGACCCCATCAAAGTATATGCTACACTAAAATCATCCACACTGATCACAATAAATTAATGCATCCTTGGATTACAAAGAACACTAGCAAGATAGCAAGATGACCACACACTTTTCATCAAAAGCTCTGTATTCAAGTTCTTACAAAGAAAACCTCCTACATGACAAATTCCACACAATAATTTTTGGGGTAGTGCCAAGGTTGATGCAACACTCCTCTGGAGAGACTTAATTCTAAAAGGCATCTCATACTCCAAAACACAAGATTGATGGTGTTCACACAGTTGAGGTGAGTCTTCTTCTGATAGATAATGTCGCTGATGATCAAATTTGAATAGAGTATACAAGGTTTGGTGGTGTTAAAATCCAAAAAAATGCCTTTGCAACACATGTGGGAAAACAAATAGCTCGTCTAAAATTTTGATGATTATTCAAATTTTGTTTGCAATGGAAAGAGCATTCACATCAGTATCTTGTAATTTATTCTGACCATTTAGTGTCAAGCTTTCAATCTGATCTCTGACAATAGACTCGCAATGCTCCCGATAATCTTGCAAAATTCTACATCACAAATGTTGTTTCAGGCAATGGGTATGACCAATACTTCTAAGATACTTGAAGTCCATTTCTCACTGTCTTGTGATGAGATGAATGGATAAATCAGCAGCTAATATTTTCATAATTTTCATCAAAGAAAAGTGGAATTGAAAAGAATGCAAACAATCACAGCGGCTACACACGACTTTTGACTTATACAGAAGAGAACTGTGTCCAGTGAAGGTAAAAGTATGAAAAACCTGGAACGCATGTTTTCCTTGAACCATATAAGAGGTCTAACACCACACAATCCTCTGAAACTGTTTTTCTGATCCTTCAAGAGAAATTACTTGTATCATTTTGGAGCAATCTTCTGTTTAAAGCAAGAGAATCCATCCTCACTTCTTCAGAACTTAGAGCCACACAATCCATGACCACTTCTCCTTCACAGCAGATGTTTAGGATAATCTTGATCTGATACTGTAGGATTTGATCCAAAACAGAACTGAGACTATTGAAAACCACACAATCCAAAACTTGTCTCATCCACATAGATGATGTTCTTGTGATTATCTGGGACAATCTTGAATCTAAAACGACATGAACTCTGCCAGACAACCACACAAATGACAAGACTGAAATCCAGTTAACCAATTTTGCATGTCGTCCACATGGTGTGATTTTCTTTTATTTACCAGGGAAAAAAAAAGAAAAAGCTATCCACAATCCTAACAGACACTGTTGAAAATCCCATGATCCAAAACGGTCTCCTCAATTACATTGAGCTTGCTCTCCTTTTGCTTGGAAAAATCCATTGTAACACCACTGGTTGCCATACCTTGGAAATCCATAATTCTGACCACATTATCTCAATACTCCAACTTAACCTAATATCACAAAACTATCTCTGATAAAACTAACATAAAATGGTGAAGGATGATGATCTGAATTCCATTTTAATTTTGATCACAAAACATTAACCAGAACAACAATAAAACAAAGCTTTACTTTACCTCCTTGCACCCTTTTGTTTGTTACTTTTAGTCATTAACCTCTCCCTATAAAATTTACCAGTTTGGCAACAAGTTGTTGTTGTTGTGTTGGAACGCTAAAAAACTCTTGGTTGCCACAACTTGGGGATCCATTTCTTGCGATTTTCCACATGTTACTCCTTGTTCAGAAAGCCACTTAATCTTGACAAACAACAGAAACCACAAGTATTTTTAAGGCAACAACGATTCCGTAAGAGTAAAATGAAATCACAGCCATTGAAGACAACATGACTTTCCATCGAAATTCTTTCATTTTCCCAGATGGGATTTTTTTCACACCAAATTCAATGTTGCAAATCCCTCACTCCAAGTTTTTCTGCTTCTCAAGAGATACGCAAACCGCAAGCAATATATACTTACAGGCAGAGACTTAGAGGTAAACTTTCAACTTTGCCAGTTGATAGGCGGATTGCGTGTCTAGCTCACGTGACTGCAACACGGAGCAATGCGCTTTCTTATGAAATAGCAATAAGAAGCTCACGAACTTATTCTCTAACTTACCCTTCGGTTCTTCTATCAAAGCGCCGTCTTTGTACAGGAGATCCCGGTGCTGAATTACTCGTAGGACGGGCGGGAGGATCCGCATGAAGCCGTGAAAGATTACTAGGGTTTCCTGGTTCATTGTAATCGGTTCTCATTTCACGATCGCCGATTCTATTAACAGATTCATGCGCTTTCGTAGCGCTGCGAATGTCAACAAAATCCACAAAAGCGGCTCGTCCACCTTCAGCGCTGCGTTTTGGTAGAATTTTGACGCTCTCGACGCGGCCATACCTGCAAACAAAGCGAAGCAAGTCGTTGGTGACGTGTAACACAAACCCTTCCGGGGAAAAAACATGGCAACTTGTGATCACACTTCCACTCAAATTGAACAAATTTAACGAGACGCTTTCCTTTCTGTCAGGTATAAAGTATTTTCTCACAATTCATCTGGCTCTAAAAATATTGATAGTGGACTTAAATTACCACAAAGAAATAAGAAATATATAAAGTTTACAAGTGCCATGATAGAGTAAAGTGAATTTTGATTTTAGCACCGCCGCAGACGGTCGAATGGTAAAATTGACTATAGCATGTCTTTTTAAGAGAAAAACATGTAATTTTTCAGGATGCATAAAATGCATTCAGAAATTTACTTTGATGAGCAAGTTCAATTTCAACGACTAATCACCATGAACTAAAAAGCGAAACGAAACGTTTTTTAAAGCTTCACGCAACAACGACAGGGAATATTAACCAGTCGAAAACGGAGCAGCGCTTTTTTTCTCTTACATGTGAACTGTCATTAAGAATAAAGTTTCCGTCATAAAGCACTGTTACAATTCCTTAAGTTATTACAAAGGAGGAAAAATAAGCTGCATTAAAAAAATAATAACAAGAATAAATTCCCTGGCTTGAATACAGCGCGCCAAAACTGGTAAACTAAAACCTTACCGGGCAAAATGCTTGACAATTTCCTCCTCCCGTATGTTTTCCGGTAGGTTTCCGACCCAGAGATGGCGTGTTTCTCGCACCATTTTGTTTGAAGTTCTTCTCCCTTATTTGAATGCAGGTTTCAGAGCGGATTTTCCGCGATAATCATTGGTAAAAAGTGCATTTCGCTGTTAACTTTCGAAACTTTACCAAGGTGGGTAGGTAATTTGGCGATTCGTGCTCGCAACGGATGGTGGGAAATCGATTAGGATTGAAATATAACAGTGATTCTGATTGGTTATTTTTTTACCCTATCAGACGATCCTTTTCTGACCAATCGGATGCGGCGTGATATTTGCAGATCTGTGTTAGTTCGCTGACTTTCTTGATCTCTTCGATCTGCGGACGTTTCTCTGCGCTTTTGGTAGTGAGATCTCGGAATCTGGAGCTTCAGTAAACCGTAAGTTCATACTACGTTACTTTTGCTGTATTTACACATCAAAGAGTTCTAAATTTGGCGTGAAATGCAGTCAGAAGCATCTCTACAAGACGACTGCATTTGCTCGATTTCCTAATTCGAGACCGGAGAGTAGACGTTCTAAGCTCTTTACAAGAAAATGAGTTTGACATCTCTGAAGATCGCTAAATGATTCAAACTCTGGGTTTATTTTTCAGTAGGATGTTTTTTCTGCAGGACAAAGTTTAGAGAGATCTTTGTCACTAAAAACTAGCTTACACGGATAAATGTGACTCGCAGCACGCACAACTGTGCCCCTTTTCCTGGATCAAATGTAATGAATTATTATTTACTTATCAGAATTGTATTTAATTTTTTCGTCACGAAAGATACGTGGCCCCAGGTTTCCTCTCGCTGTTAGGTTTTGTTTACTTTTTGCCGATCAAATGTTTATGAAGTTACCACACCCAATCTATACTAGGAGTTTTGAATTTGTTCTTACTAGGACCTGTTTTTGATAGAAACAGATCTCTGAGTAACTTTCTAAACTCAATTTTTTATCAGTTCTGAAAGCTTCTATTCAGAGCTCATTCACCTCTTATTTGTTCGGTTTTTTATTGCACCACATAACATTTTCGTCAGTTTTTTTTCTTAAAAAGGGGAAATTACATGACCTACCTGCAAACCCTGAATGAAAGTGAGAATTAAAATAGTTTCAGATTCTCTTAACTTTCACAAGTGGATTAGGCCAATGAAAGTTGTAAATTATTTCAGAACTCCTTTGCTTAGTTTGTTAGGTTTTAGAAAGGAGGTACGATGCAGATTGGGGTACATGTATGTGGAGGCTCCACCCATGATATGATACCAGTTCTTGTGGTGTCATGGTGGCTTTATGGTCAAAAGAACATTAATGTTTCTCTCTGTTTCTCTTGGAATATCTGCAAAAAAATGTCTAGACTTGCCACAAGTCAACCTCACAAATTTCAAAGCAAAAAAATTCGTAAAGCAAGCTGAGAGAGCAACAAAGTCACATTGATGAAGTACAAAAAGTCCTTCGTCCTACAGGCCACATTAAATCTATCCTCAGGTTAAACGAGAATTTCCTTTTTTTCTCTCCTATGAATAATATTATTAGGGCTAAATAACTCTGGACCCAACTAGGAAAAATACTGAGTTAACTTGTAATTGACTTTACCTACATTGTTTCAACTTGTCCAGGAAATCGGCCTTCGGTAATGAAAGCCTAAGGGCAAGGGCGCAAAATTTCTCTGTCTTTAAGGCTGTTTTTAGGTCTCTGGTGCCTGGTGCACAGGAAAAAATAATGGATTCCCATTTTTGGATATTTTAGGGTAGTTAAAGAATACCCATAAAAATCCCAAATTTGGCAAAGTGAGACAAGTCCCAACCAGGGAATTCCCAACCAAGTTCCCTGATTGGGACTTGTCTCACTCTTCCAAATTTGGGATTTTTGTGGGTATTTTTTAAATACCCTAAAATATCCAAAAATGGGAATCTGTTATGTTTTCCTGTGGTGTATGAAGTTAAATAAATCAACCATAATTCCACTTCTGAAAATAATTACTCTGTATATGCAGGATGTTTTGCTGGGGATACAAGTGTTTGTTGTGCTGAATGGAATGAAATTCCTAACGTCATCCCAGTCCCTGGCCAGGCGAATAACTTTTTCCTCTTGCCAGTTCAGGCGTTATTTCTCCGCCTCCCCTGTCATTGCACAAGGTGATTTTTCAACTCCCGTTATTTGAAGACCGCGCCCCTTAAACCTGATTAACGTAGATCACCACGTACCAACTGCTGCATCTATTGTATAAGCCACACACTTTTCTGCTTAGATTGACTTAAATGTTATCTGTTATTGTAATTTCCTTATTTTGTAGTCATTGATTATTAATAAACAACTTCAGCAAATCCTCTGTTTTCTGACATTTCTGCTGCATGTTGTCATTGTTTTGAATTTTTCATTAAGTTTAAGTCTAAACTAAATTGTTAAAATAATGTTTCTCCCATTCAAAACTAGAAAAAGTATATAAAATATTTTGGAAATTTACAGGGTATCAAGTGTGTCTTACAACTACTGTATCTTACAAAATCTTATTAATATTATCACCATTGAACTATAAAATGTACTGGTATTTGGCCACCTCCTTTCAGGGTTTTCACAAAGAATTCTAGTGGCAGGAGAAAGGTGTAACTTAACAGTAGATTATTGTGAAAGAGGCTCCATTTCTAAATAGAAAATAGTCATAGGCTATCGCACGTTAGCCGGGGAATGCTGTGTAGTAAGCAGAGAATGTCCCTTATTATGCAAAAATGAAAATCAGAACCTCTTCCCCATGTATTTGAAGGTTCTTCCGGGTTTAAGAAGGTTGTAATTTTCTGGGGTATATGTTACAGGTCAAAATTATATTCAGATTAAAATTTTTTGACCTGAGTTGATTCTCAATTTCCTTTGTTTCTAGCCCTATATTCATGAATAGCCCTAATTATTAGGGCTAGGAAACGATGAAAATTGAGAATCAACCTAGGTTAAAAAATTCTAAGCTAAATTTAATTTTGACCTCTAACATATATATACATGTAGGCATTCAAACTTTTATTTATTTTTTTTTTAATATTTTTTTTGTTAATTTTCTTAGCAAATATGTCTGGTGTCAGCAAGATCCAAGCTCGTGAAATATTTGACAGTCGTGGAAATCCTACAGTGGAAGTTGATATCACAACTTCTAAGGGTGAGTAAGACATTGCTCAAACCCATGGAGGGGAGGAGGGGTAATCTCTTTTTTAGCCATAATGAGTGTGTTGCTAAACAGGGTATTGGTTTGGGAGAATCATAAGTCTTAAATGGGGTTTGCAATTCAAAGGTGGACAGACGGCAAATTGTTGTTGCTTGAAATATCTGTAAGAGGTTTTCTTTCTGACCAGATGTTTTGAGCGGGTTGTGAAGGTTTTTTCAGCAGTGCATGGTCTACATGCATGGTAACAGTCCAATGTTAGGCACCCGCCCTCTCTTCAGGGAGGTAGCTGGCTAGTAACAAAATTGCCTTTATTGTCTGAACCAAAGGTGATTTTGTCCCTACAGTTGCCATTGAGTAGATTTTTGACTGTATTTTTTTTTATTTTCAGGCCTATATCGTGCTGCAGTTCCTTCTGGTGCATCCACTGGGATTTATGAAGCTTTGGAGCTCCGGGACAAGGATCCAAAACGATTTCTTGGCAAAGGTGATATTACATACAGTTTTTAATTATTTAACTCATCAACAAAGATTAGCAGGTAGGGGGGTGGGGGGCTGCTTGAGAGGCTGTTTCGGCCAAGAACTACAGCTGAGTGCAGCATAACCATGACATCCCTGTAAGGTGGTTCTGACTTTTGAGTCTGCAGTGGAAATCCCATAGTGTGATCATTTAAATAAAAGTTACTGAAGAGTACTCTCCTTTGGTGTTGTTTATTATTTTGTACAAGGTGTTTCTAACTTTTAAGTCATGAATCAAATCCTATGGAATGACCGTTCAAATGAAAGCCACTGAGTAGTAATTTCTTGTGGTTTGTTTATTTTGCTGTAGAAGGTAATTCTAACTTTTTGTCCTCCATATAAGTAAGCACTGTAAGTAAGTACTGCTTTTAAAACAAAAACTACCAAGAAGAATTTATTATTTGTTGTGTCAGCTATTTACAATGCTGACAAGCAAAAGTACTAGTTGTTTGCAAATTATAATAAAATATTTATTGTTAAATCAATAATGGAATTTATTATTGTTGCATTAAAGGTGTCTTGAAAGCAGTTGAGAATGTCAATAAAGTTATTGGACCTGCCTTGATTGAGAAGGTGCATGTAAACCATGTTCATATTGTACTGTTATAATCAAATAATTATTAATGTGTGGGGAATAGAATAAGTCTGTATTACTAAAGAGTCACATTGACTACTTGAACTCATGTCGTCCGGCGTGCATGGAATGTAATCCTATCTGGAGAGTTTTTTCCTGAGGCCTTCTGCAGAGAGTTGTATATAATGTAATAAGACATTGTCTAATTAATTTGAACCAAAAGTTTGATTAAAGTTAGCATTTGCCTGTAATTTTGATTGAAAAACGTGACAATTTCCCCATAAAGTTTAAGGCTTGGGATGACACACATTATTGATAGATTTGTTTTGTTTCAGAATATTGATGTAACTAAACAAGCTGAGGTTGACAAAATCATGTTGGAACTTGATGGGACTGAGAATAAATGTTAGTTAATGCCTTGAATCTTCTCTACAAAGTACACCATCTACCATTAATTTTGTAGTACTAGTATATTACGGCACTTTTCAAAAACACGCGAATTCTTAAGTTCAAAAGCCAACTGACATTTGTATTTTGCAATGCCATCAATCATCCTAGCAGACCTCTTAGGAAACAGAAGTTTAGAAGGTCATGGTTTGTGATCTGTGATTGGTGGATCTCGATCCACTTTGTGTGTTTCTACGTTTAAAGGTTCCTTGCTTGTGATCGTAATTATGATTGACAGCGGTGAAAAATGCAATATTACTGTAAAGGTGGCTTTTGAACTTCAGAGTTTGCATTTTTGAAAAGTGCAGTAGGATCTACTAAGTAAGTAGTCTCCCTCACAGCCGTTTTTAGTGTTGTCACGCAATGCTCCTCTGTGACGACACTAAAAGCGGCTGCAAGGGAGACTAGTAAGTTAGCTGCAAGATATGAATAATCTCTTGTCATTACCTAATAGCACAAATTGCAAGTATAATGGCTACTGTGGAACAAACCTCTGTCAGTACTGTTAGATTTTTTACAGTGGTACATCTTGGATGATTAATTGAAAAATAATAATTGAGTTCATGTAGGTGACAACTACTTGAATGTGAAGTTTGGTTTAAATCCCCATGGTACACTGTACATTTTGTGATTTGTTCTACTGTATGATGAGTGGAAAATAAAAACATCTGAAATGCCATCTACAGCTCTCTTTATAACAAGCTTGTTATAAGTAGCCATCAGTGGGCTCTTTTATCTGGCTACTGCAGTAAAATCAACCGGCTGTGAAAAGGAGTCAAACATAACAAAAAACAGGAAGATTTGTGTGATAAATGACTGGCAACTTTCCCTGAGAGACTAGATACTTTAAACCTTAATGACAGCCTTGTATTAATAATAATAATAATAATAATAATAATAATGATAATGATGACGATGATGATGATGACGATAATAAATTATGCAAAATAAAAGACATTGACTATAACTGATTTGATAAGAAATGTGTGTTTACTCTTAAACATTATTTTGTTCTCTGTGTTCTAGCTAAACTTGGTGCCAATGCAATCCTTGGTGTCTCTCTTGCTGTTTGCAAAGCAGGAGCTGCTCATAAGGTGAAAACAACTTACATGTAACTGATCATTTCTGCATATGCCAACAACTCTGAAAACCAGGGGCTCCATTACGGTACTACTGATGGCCGGCAGATGTCGACCTTTTATTGGGAATTGCGAACAAATAATTAGCATACTGTAAAATTTGAGGGAAAGTGAAGAAAGTCAATGAGAATAAAATTATAATGTGTGGTATTTGAATAATGCATTTTCACCCTTTTAAATTTTTGTATTATTATTATTGTAATTATTATAAATTGCTGATAATTAGGTTTTATTAATTAGTTTCAAAGAAGGGAATTGATGATGTAATTTATAATCCTATTTTTAAGGCAAACCCACCAAGCATGAACAGTTCCTATCTCCATTTACAAATACCTCTGTAAAGTGGAGACTTGTCTCTGTGTGCACATCGGTGTCTGTACTAAGGAGGTTTACTAATTATTTTTTCAGGGAGTTCCGCTTTACAGACACATTGCAGACCTGGCTGGCAACAAGGAAGTCATTCTTCCGGTTCCAGCATTTAATGTCATCAATGGTGGAAGTCACGCAGGAAATAAACTTGCCATGCAGGAATTTATGCTGCTCCCAACTGGTAAGTGTTTCCAAATGCTTTGAACTTGTTCAAAGTAGTGCTTATTATGATTCCACAGTATTGATGGAAGCATTCAGCAGCAACTTAAGATAAAGTTGTGCATGAGTTGACCAAGTATGTTTTTTTATCTTTATTCAAAAGGTGCGAGTAGTTTCAGTGAGGCAATGAGGATGGGTGCAGAAATCTATCAGAACCTCAAGAGCGTAGTGAAGAAGAAATATGGAATTGATGGTATTTTTTATAAACTTATCTTGCTGTTATTCAGTTCCATCACTTTTCCTAAGAAAAGGGACTCCAGTACATGTGTATGAGGAACATTACGATCAAATGCGCTGGTTGCTAGCATAAAAAGGAATTTCTAAGTTTTCAAAGCAAGTTTACTTATCCATTAAATTTTGTTACTACTCCTGTACAAAAGGAACAACCTGAATTAACGTCAATTTATGATTTATAGGTGTTTGTGTTGACCATGATGTAACAGTTTAAGTCTTTGATCTCAGTGTTCTTTTTTTTCACTTTTTTCAGCTACCAATGTTGGTGACGAGGGAGGTTTTGCCCCTAACATCCAGGACAACAGGGAAGGTTAGAGGCTATAACATACTTCATAGTCTTAGATATCCCAAATTAGAAACAATCTTGTTATTTGACATTTTTATGTCCACTTCACACATGGATTTCAAACATGGATCACTATTATTTCAAAGACTAATCATTCATATTTACCCTGCTGAATTTCTTTTACTTTTACAACTTTGTGAGCTTGAGTTTTCCTTGAATTTACAAAACAATGCGGAAAACTACACTTACAACTGGAAAGTGAATTAAAAGGAAAAGGCTATGTCACAGCACAGGACAGTGGAACCTGGATATGAGAAAGTGGCAAGAGACTGGCAAAATTTGTTCACTATATTAAACAAGGTTTTATTATATCGAGGTTCGTTTTCATATGTTTTGTATGTTCTATTATTGTTCGTTATACCAAGGACTTAAACTTGAAAGGACTTCGTTATATGGAGGTTCATCCACTGTACTACCACATGGGAAAAAAATGTTATTAATAATTTTGTATGGCACGTAAATTAACTTTGCAGGACTGGAGTTATTGAAGATTGCTATTGCAAATGCAGGCTATACCGATAAGATTAAAATTGGCATGGATGTTGCTGCCTCTGGTATGACTTTACCTTGTCTTGATGATTGACTTATTATGAATAATAATTATTATTTTGACCTTAGCTATTGCTAAATATGGCTAGAATGCAATTCTTCAAGAATCATGTTAGATGTACTAATGTCAATCTTTGAATAAATTTCTTTATTATTTGTTTATGTTGGTCAATACTATTAGCGAAATCCCGCGAAATTCCCAAAAAAACGCGAAATACCGCGAAATCCGCCAGAAATATTTCCAAATACATGTCGGCAAAACATATTTAATACTTATCTTGGCTATTAGACCGGTTTTATTCACCCCCAACGTCCAAATTTAGCTTGAAACTTCGTCACTGCAACGAGTAAACAACGTCCCAAAACTACCAGGCGTTTTTAGATGAACGTTGCGAAAAACTGGGCACTAACCATAATGTTAATGGCTTTAACATTCACTCATTTCTGGAGCGAACTGTTGCTGAAAGAGCAAATGATTATCCCTATTTAAAAAAACGTTCACCAACGTTGGTCATATCGATGCAAAATTGATCGATTTTAGCGAAATTTGCCAAAAAAAACCAGTGAAATCGGCTGTTTTTTTCTGATTGTTTCTTGGCGAAGTTTCCCCCCGAAATTTCCCTGAAATCGGCCGATTTTCCTAAAAATTTGCCTCTGAAAATCCTTCGAAAATTGACTTTTTCCGCTAAAATCCCGCGAAATGGGCGGATTTTTCTGCGAATTTTGACTTTACTCCCGCGAAAATCGCCCGAAATCGGCCGATTGTTCCGCGAATTTTGACTTTTTTCCCGCGAAAATCCCGTGAAATCGGCCGATTTTTCCGCAAATTTGCCCCTGAAAATCCCGCAAAATTTGGCTTTTTTTTCCGCGAAATATCAGAAGCCCTGTATTAGCCTTTCTTGCTACCCTACAATTTGCGTGAAAATAAAGTTCATGTCTGTATGTATATGCTTTCTATATGTTTTTGTTGAGTATAATTGGGGAAATGTTGTTTCAATTTTGTTTAATAGAATTCTACAAAGAAGGAAAGTATGATCTGGACTTCAAGAATCCAAACTCAGATCCTTCAAAATGGGTAAGAACTTCATCAAAATTTGTTTTGCTTGAAACAGGGTCAGAATTAGCCAAATCTGGCTTGTGCTGCAAGTTAAATACATCATTGACTCCAAAGAATTTCTTCAGAAGTAAGTTTGACTTCACCCTAGAATCCAGACATTAATCCTGGAAATGTGTGTGCAATTATATCTTGGAAAAACACAAGCTGGCTGTTTAATGTAGTTAAGATCTATTTAAAATCTTCTGACCTGTATTTTCTCAGTGTTAAAACATGTCACTAAGGAAAGGTATGCTGATGCTTTGGTATTTTCAGATTTCTGGTGATCAGTTGGCTGCAATGTATGAAGGATTCATCGCTGATTATCCAGGCAAGACTTGTGTTCTTTTAACGTAAAAAAAATTATTTTTGTTCATTCTCGAGCTCAGCACGGAGAAGGTGGCTGATGGCAAAAGCACTTTAGGAACAGCAGTGGTTTTCTTGTGTCACTGCAGAATTTACAAGTAACTTCTGGTTTGAACTTCTTGGATACCCAAACGTGTTCACATAAACAGAAATACAAAAAATAATAATAATATGAATACTGGTATATGTGTTTGGTTTTACCAGGAAGTATTTACTGGTACCTAAGTTAATTTACACTCCACTAATCAATATATAGTGAATTGCTATTTTCATTTAAAAAGAAATACTCTAAAATATCCCACGAATTTTTGCTTGGATTGTTACTGAATTGCATTCAACTCTGTCCAAAAGACACCATTTTTAAGATGGACAGTGATGATGGTGGAGGCTGGTCCCTGAGGGTGTCTTTTTTGGAGAGAGATGACTGTAGCAAGTAAATTAAATATCCCACTTTCCTTTCCTTTCAGTGGTGTCTATTGAAGATGCCTTTGACCAAGATGACTGGGCCAACTGGACAGCCTTGACACAGAAGGTGTCCATCCAGATTGTTGGGTAAGGGCTTTCTGCCTTGCAACAGCCTCCCCTCCTCCCCCTCCCCCACCCTCTCCTCTACCCTACCCCCTTGAGTTTGCAAGAAGGATGATTTGTGAAAACCCTTTAAGGAACCATCCCTTTTGACTGGCTTTCTCTGTAAACCAAATTACATGCACAAGGGTTGGGAGGGAGGGGAGAGAAAGAGATACATGGGAGGATGGAATGCAAAATTTGCCAGAGCATGAGATTGTTGTGGTCAAATTAACATTGCTTTAAAGTCCTGAGTCAGGCATTAATTAGGATTTTTTAAGTTTTGTTTAAGGCACCCTTTAATTACAGGGTAGAGGTAACTGTTACATTATGCATCTTTTGTGTAGGGAATATTTGATTAAAAATAGGTAGTAATTAACAGTGTCTGTGAGCATGCTTAATTGGCCCTTCTTCAACCAAAATACTTGTCTTGGACATGAAACTTAGTTTTGTCTTTCTTTCCTTATTCTTTCCAGAGATGACCTCACAGTTACAAACCCAAAACGGTGAGTTTAAGTTAAGTAACTATAAAATGAAAATCCATTCGTATGGTACAATAATGGTACAAGGGAAGTTGATGCATTTTGAGGCAAGCTTCATGGTGTTCTTTACAACAATAAATTGTGCCGTGTTTGAGTTATTATCTGTTGCAATAATATATCAAAGAATATCCTTTTTCTTCGTAGCATCAAAATGGCCGTTGAGAAAAAAGCCTGCAACTGTCTTTTGCTGAAAGTGAATCAGATTGGCTCAGTCACAGAATCCATTGAAGCGTAAGTGTGAGATATAAGTAATTATTAATTCTCAACAGTCTGTCGGTATCATTGTTTCATACTTATTACATTTAAGGTGCAAGAGTATTGCACAATAATATGTAGTGACATAAGCAGCAGATACAAGAGCAGAGCAGTTATAATATGTAGCAAAATTAAGGAACACAGTGAAGATGTGGAGGTGAATGACGTGTTGTAAAAGAAAGTTTGGATGTGTTGATAAAATTTCGTGCGTTTATGTATTCTGCTCACACGAAACGGCGTACGATGTTGAGACGCTTAGCCGAATATTAAACGGTCCCGTATCGAAATTCAGGACACCTTTGTCAAAAAAAACATCTTTCCCCAAAACAACCTTGTATCTTTTCAGCTGTTAATGTTTGTTTATTTGTTTGTTGGTGTTATCAGATGTAAACTGGCACAGAGCAATGGCTGGGGTGTGATGGTTAGTCACCGTAGTGGAGAAACAGAAGATACCACCATTGCTGATTTGGTGGTAGGACTGTGTGCTGGTCAGGTACGATAAGATTTTGAAAATTTTTCTTCAACAGAACCAATGCTTAAGAAATATTAGTTTTGTGCTACCTGTAAATCCTTCAAATGCGCTTGTCTTTAACGTTTATCATTGTTTTTTTATTTATTTATTCCACGTTCCCAAGGAGTTATACCCTGCGTCCAAGGCTTCATTTTCGCAGTGTGATTTGTATGAAAATACCCACCCGTGTTTATAATGCCTTTTTCGGTTCATTGTTTGTGCTCAATGGAGTCGCTTCCTATTTGATTGGCTGAAAAATTTCACGCCACTTTGTAGGCCAATCGGCAGTAAGAACAAGTGGTGACTTACTTACGTTTTCCCGCGCTTGAGCCAACTTTATGTAGTTGTATTCAGATCTGATTAATTTATTCGATTGTCTGGGCATATTGTGATTGGCCAGGATTGACGTGATGTCACTCAAATTATGACTTTTCGCAATGGTTCTTTTGTTCTAGATCAAAACCGGAGCTCCCTGCAGATCTGAACGTTTGGCGAAATACAACCAGCTCATCAGGTGACTACTTTTTACCAATAAAAATATGTTTAAAATAATTACCTAATTACGGTAGGTATAGTGTTCGAGTTTCTTCAGATATATTGCTGTGAAGTGTGGCCATTAAAATGGATATAAGCTACTGGGCAATACTTTCCTGCGGTGCTGTTAATCATTCTATAACATGTGCGTTAAGCGTGAGATCAAGAAAGCTGGTAGTCTGCTACAAAGCCGTTTTTAGTGTCGTCACGCAACGCTCCTAGGAGCATTGCGTGACGACTCTAAAAACGGCAGTGTAGCAGACTAGAAAGCTGGTTATTGGCGAAAATCTTTTTTTCGTTTTCATGGACGAGACAAAGTCGGGGTCAATAAAAACTTTAAAAAGAACAGGAACTAGAACTGTTACTCTTATTGAAGGCAACTAAACTGTACTTGTTACTGTTTGGAAGTAAACGTCTATTTTGTATTCTCTTAATAAATCGGATTTTCTGCTAAAATCTTTTTGTACCATTTTTTGTTTCGCAGAATTGAGGAAGAGCTGGGTGCTAGCGCTAAGTTTGCAGGGGAGAAATTCCGACGCCCATTGGAGTAAACAGACAGAACTCCAAACAACTAACTCAGCTCCTAAAACCTATCAGTTCAACGAAGTTAACGGGCCCGACATATGGCAAGCATCTGTTGTTGCAACGGTTCTAGGTTTTATCACTTCCAGGCATCTGTTGATTTAATTCTGTAGAATGAAAGGGTGTGAATAAATCATGAATTTAAAGAAAAATATGACCCGGTGTTTTTAGGCTGTCGTAATTCTCTGGAAGTTTGTGAGATGAATTATACTCCGGGAGGAGGGGGTACCCCTGGGAATCCTTGTTGGAGTGCCCGTCCGGTTCTCCAAATCCTGGCCCCATTTAATTTCAGACCAAAAAATGTCACTTTCCACACCCATTCTAAGAACTGGCCTCTAAAATCCATACCCGTTTTCAGACCTGGCCTCAGAAATA